GAAATCATTACCTTAGAGGCTTAGATCGACGGCGTTTCGGTAGACAAAAGATGTATTCCACCTTGTACATACATTATGACTTCTTAATGGACAAAGGTTCACAATGCTGGTCAGAGTGGATCTCGCCGAGTAGTGATGGGTTTCCCTATCAATATTTCATGTTTGGATTCAACCCCTAAATCAAGTCTCAGCTTCGCGTTCAAGACTCCAAGCCGAACTCCGAAGGGGTTTGACAATCGACATAGATGGTGAGCGTGGACTACGTAACATCAACATGTGTAGAGCGGTTACAATCAGATGCTGAACCGTTTGTCTCATGTAGGCTACCGAATCAACAAACAGTCATTTGGACGCACATCGTACACACAATGTCGGCAGCCGCCTTGTGCAGAGTCTGACCGTCGATTGGCGGCAAAGATCTGAGAGATTTCTCTGCGTCTCCGTCAACGATGGCGCAAATTTGGCTGACTAAACTCATGACGTACCTGAGAAGCCTCGTGGTATCCAAAGCTGTTGATTGTGGTTTCTCGTGGTCTTTCCAAAACCGAGGTAAGACAGAAGCTGTTGTAGCTCACCTTCAGGGTGGCTTGATATAGAAATGCCATGAGCCGCCGTGGGAAACCAAGATGTTTGAGATTGAGTCAGTGAAATCTTCATACCGATCAGGCTTCGTCCACCTAAAGACATCAGTTCTGAGAGTTCCTGCTCTGTCTGAACAGTTCCACCTGGCTTGACGTGTCACCGCGCCCTGCTTCTCAGCTATCAAGGTGAGATACCCTTCAACCAGTGCTTGATTGGACAGCAATTTACACAAGGTACGATAGTGATGTTTCTTGGAGCTTTGGGAGAAGGTACGCCATGTCACATTACTGTAGTTGGTCAAGAAGGCACGGCACGTTTTGTGGCAGGAAGATACCAAGGGCGAAAACCTGTGCCTTCCGCCTCGGTCTTCTTCTCTCACCAGTGCCTAGGTTGTCACGCCTCTCTTTCCCTTAATAGATTCGGATTACGTCGTGCAGAGGTACCTCGTCCCGACACCTTCCTGAATGACTCTGTTCCCAAACCTAGAGATTGCGGTTGGAAACCAGGAACTCAATGACGCAAGCACCATACCACCACGGCTATGCGGCGTGCCACTCGCATCCTGTTTGCCTTCCGTGACTGCCTTAAAGTGTGCTTCAGTCCAAATTGCATTATATTGGCACGGAAAATGTCCTTCGGTTCGTCCTTTTCAAAATTCCTTTTGGCCAGGCTATCTCCACCACAACTTGGACGTCGAGTCTGGCACTCATCAGCGTCCAAACAATCCCGGAATTTTGAACACGCTCATCTTGCTGTAATCATCACACCTGGTTCCCTTATTCAAGGCAATCTGGCTGTGCCGAAGTTTTGATCAACCTGGACAGCCCATACTTCGACCCTCTGACATCTACCACGTCTCAGCACCATCCTACAAGAACACTAATATTCATCGCCCTTGTCAACCTTCTCATACTCTTGGCTTTAACCTAGCCGACTGCAGCAAAGGGGACGCAGGAAAGGCGTTTCGTTGCGCCATGCTTCTATCTCTTGTGTTCCTCGCTACCACCGCCGCAGCGGCCATACCCTCTCCACCGGCCTACGACTATGGCTTCGAAGCGGCCAAAGTGGTCAAGCGCCAGACACAGGATCCAATCATTGTCACCAAGCTGCCTTCCATAAACGGAACTATTCCTAACCGCCCCGAGATCAGAGAGTTGAAGGAGAACCCCTTCAAGTGGAATCTCTTCCTCCTTGCTTCAAGCATGTTTCAGTTTACGAATCAAAGCGAACAGCTATCGTGGTATCAGATCGCAGGTAAGACTGAGTGGTAACTATCGCGCCGTTTAGCTTTCTGATATACAGCAGGTATTCACGGCGTTCCTTTCGTCCCCTGGAACGGCGTGCCCGGCGTACCGGGAGGCGAAGAAAGGGGCTACTGCACCCACATGTCCATTCTCTTCCCATCGTGGCATCGCGTTTATCTTGCTTTGTACGAGGTCAGATCCCACGAAGTTGTGACGCCACCCACAAAACGACTAACATCGTAGTAGCAAATTCTCTTTCAACTCATACAGATGATTGCCTCGTGGTTTCCAGACCCCACGGAACGAGCTTACTACCAAGCCGCTGCGATAGACTTCCGAATCCCATACTGGGACTGGGCTACTACACCGCCGCTCGGAGAAAGCGTCTACTTGTCTGAATTCGAGCAGCCTGCAATTCAAGTGTATGGCCCTAACGGATGGCAGACCATTGCCAACCCGTTATACAGCTACAAGTTCCGGCCGCTGGACCCGCAGGTGTTTTCCCAAGGCGATGTAAGTAGTGGCTCCCACTTGATCAAAGAGTAGAATCCTGATAGTATAAAGTTTCCCCATTGGACAGAGACAATGAGAGCTCCCTTCGAGACAACGGACAACCAAAGCATAGCGCACTCGATCGAGCATGCCAGACCTGCACTTCAGCAACGACTCTATACTCTCCTTTCCAATTACAAGGACTTTGAACCCTTTAGTAACAAATTCTGGGGGGTGGCGTCAAATCAGACGCAGTACGACTCAGTGGAGGCCTTGCACGATGCAATGCACGTGTTGGTGGGCGACCGCGGCCATCTGTATTACATTCAGTATTCGGCATTCGATCCGGTGTTCTTCTTGCACCATGCCATGGTGGAACGAATAGTCGCCATGTGGCAAGTTCTGTATCCTACCGCCTGGGTCACTTCTCAAGCCGCAATGGAGCCTTCCTTTACCATGTCGTCAGGGACCGTTCAAAACTGGCTCACGGAACTCAAGCCATTCTATGCGGACGCCAATGGCACCTTTTGGAACTCGGCGATGGCCAGAGACACTACGGCCTTCGGATATGCGTACGCAGAAACGAATCCGAGTCTGGGAATCCACAAGTCTGAGGAACAAGCTCGCCTCATAGCAACTATCAACAGACTATACGGCTCATCTAGTCCCTCAGGTCTGGCCCGGAAGCAATGGAGAGTAGCGTCCAAAAGAGAGGGGGGGCCGCTATCCCAAGTTCGAAAGGGAACTACTTCAAAGCATGTGCTAGACTTTTCACAAGACCCTGACCTTGAGACCAAAGTAGCGACTGAGGACGACATGTACACCGAATGGGTCGCCAATATTCATGTTCAGAATGGAGCATTGAATGGCTCGTTTGCAATCCATTTCTTCCTAGGTGAAGTTCCCGAAGAAGCCCCTTCTTGGGCATCTGCACCGAATCTCGTCGGATCAATGAGCGTATTTGCGATGAAGAACATGGGTTCAGGCAATCATGTGTCCGGAACAGTTCCTCTGACATCGGCCTTGATGCACATGGTCTGGGCGAGAACTATCTCAGGGCTTGAACCCGATGAGATCGTACCATTTCTCGAAGAACATCTCCAAGTTAGGATTGTCGCGGAAGGATCGATTGAAGTTGAAGCGACAAAGATAGATAGCCTACACATCCAGATCGCAAGCGCTCGTGTTCAAGCATCTAGACACGAGTGGGAACTTCCAAAATGGGGGCCGATGGTGGAGAGGTTTGTGCTGAGCCTCGGCTGATGCCATCTCTGCGTTACGATTAGGAAAAGACTTAGTTACGGGAACATTTTCCTGGATCCATTGATTAGAGGACTTAGAGATAGCTGCTCTTTAATGTGTAATTTGCTTATGACTTTCCGCCATTAAGTTGACTAGTTAAGAAGTAAAGCTACCAGTCACGTGGACTGAGACTAAAGACTCACCTCGAGCGTGGACCCACTTCCCAGAAACGGGATAGCAGCTTTTCCGAAGCTTCAGCCTTCCGTCACCCAGAACTGCCACCCTCAGTCGCGAGGTCTCGCATCCAGTCGTCTTTGCATTTGACGAAAGACACGCTCAACGCACGAACGCCGCCGCCAAAATGAAACTCGTCAGGTACTCGCAATTGATCACCCTTTCCCTCCTTCTGCCGTTAATTTGTGTGCTGAGCCCTCCTTCTCAGAGATGCAGAAGGTCGCTCGCCGTAAAACGAGGCCAAAATAAAGCTGACCAGAACTTCCAACAACTAGATTTTTGATGAAATGCGCCAATGAGACGGTGACAATCGAACTCAAGAATGGTTAGTAGACTCTTGTCATTTTGTCCTGCGGCTCTAGAAAAATGCGCAAAGCGCTGCATATCGTTTGCCAGACCGCATACTGACGCGTACAGGCACCATCGTTCACGGCACCATCGCCTCGGTCTCGCCGCAGATGAACACGGCGCTGCGCACAGTCAAGATGACACCGCGGGGCCAGGACGCCGTCTCGCTCGATACCATGAACATCCGCGGCTCGACGATCCGATACTTTATCCTGCCCGACTCGCTGCCTCTCGACACACTGCTCATCGACGACCAACCGAAGCCCAAGAACAAGGCGCGCAAGGAGGCGGAGCGCGGCGGCCCCGTCCGCGGAGGAAGAGGCGGCCCCAGAGGAAGAGGCCGTGGTCGGGGACGCGGTCGCGGACGTGGCTGAGCTGGGGTTAATGGGACAAAATGAAGACACGCTGTTTTTTCGACGAGGGCCGACCGTCGACACCTGTTGTTACTGGGTCGACACCGACAATTGTTATGGGCGCCGAGAAAGGTTTCCTGCTTGCCTCAGGGAAAGAAAGACGGAAATAATACTCGTGAATCATGAAGAAACTCTTCATAGGGGGAAATATCTATGCCCAACCCCCTTAAGGACGACGGACCGTCGATGAACTTTTTTTTTATGTTGCAGTCCGGGCCTCGAGCTTGAAAAAAGACGGGCACCCCTACACATCAAGACCAACCGGATGCTATTCAGGCGTTGGGGGTGGTTAGGAAATAAAAAGAATACAATTCCAGTAAATGAAACTACAGATCTCGCAACTGAGTGTGCCATGAGGCTCGCCAGCACGAGCATGCGACTGAAATGAAGAAGTACACAGGTCAACAATATGTCAAGATACAAGAGCTATCTATGTCCTACGTTTCTATGTAGACTGTTCCTCCATCTCTGTCTCCCTCCACACCCTAATGATCTGCAACTTCTCCCACCCAGCCTTCTTCCCGCTCTCCCCAACCGTGACAGCCTTCCACCCGCCCCCGAACCCTTCAATCCGACCCTTGACCTCGTCCGGCTTGTTCTGCGCACACAGCAGAATGTAAGCGCACCCCCTCGCGCTCAAGACCCCAGGCAGCGCCTCAATCAACCGATCCGTCGTCTCCATACCGTCCCGCCCGCCCGCGTACGACAGTGAAAGCAGATACGAGTCCTCGTCAAACGTCGTCTTTGTGCCGGCGTCCGCGACGAGCGTGGCTGAAGACTGCGCGGGGAGCTCCGGGGACGGGACGTAGGGCGGGTTGAAGACGAGGACGTCGACGCTTGCCGGACGCAGCGGGGTCGTGAGGTCGCCCAGGGAGGCACCGAGCCAGAGGGAGGGAGGGGAGGCCGTGGACGGGTTGTCGGCGACGGCGCGGCGGACGGTGGAGGTTGTGGCGTGGCAGGCGTGGCCGTTTAGGTCGATGCCTGCGGTGAGGACGGTGGGTGTGCCGAAGAGGGTTGCTGCGTGGGCGGCGAGGAAGGCTATCACGACGCCGGAGCCGGTGCCGATTTCGACTACCAGTGGGGCTGCCGGTCTTGACTTTGATGATGATGATGATGTTTCGCCGCCAAAGCGTGATGTGAGGAATGAGGTTTCTGACGAGGCTGAGAGGGTATCCAGGAGGAGGTACGAGTCCTCTGCTGGCTCGTACACACGCTCAAACGGAACGTGGGAGGTATCTGGTGTGGGCAGCATGTTGGGTGAGGCCTAAGAGGGTGTGTAAGTCTCAGTGAGATGAAGAGTAAGTGGATGAATTCTTACAAAGTAGTGTTGGGTCTTAATTCCGTGAAGCCGACTCGGCATACAAGGTCGCTATGAGGACTTCGTTGATACTTGCTACGTACTTGGCTTTGTGAAGGGTGCTTGCTGCTGGTTTGACCCTCGAGAGACGACGGCTAGATGAAAATTTCGGGGATGAGGTCAAAATCCAAGATACCTTTGTCGGGTGAAATTTGTGGGGTTCACATCACTCACGCCAACCACAGAACAAATTCACGATCACCCACTTGCATTACAATGCGTTTGCGGTTACCAAGAAGATTTGCCAAAATGTACACAATTTGATTGAGATGTAAATATATAATCATGAAGAATTCATAAATCTTGAATGTTAACTACAAAATCATGTCTGCTTGCTCAAAAATCCAACAACATGTCTAGTCGATAATACCATCAGGTAAGAAGCTGACATAGTCCAAAGGAGCGACCTCGGGCCCGTCAGGCGTACCGACAATCTTCAGCGTATCGCCCTTGGTCACCTTGATGCCAGGGAAGTTGACGCGGATGGCAGAGTGTCCATCCAAGAACTCGGACGGCCAGTGGCCCAACTTCTCCTCGCTGTTACCCCTCCACTGGCCGACGACGACATCATTGATGTACGCGACGTACGAGCACTTTCCTCTAATGACGTCAAAGTAATTGACAGCGAGGGTGTATGTTCCGGTCTCGAACTCGACCGTGGCGGATGCCGTTCCGGCCGTCGTGTTGGAGCTCGTCACGATGGCCTTGTAACCCGACGCCGCCTCAAAGGGGTCGACGTCGACGACCTTGTATCCGTCAAGCGTCATGTGCTCGGCCTCGATGCGGTACTTGTAGTTGCCTACGCGTCCCGCCTCGTCGGGGATGCTCGACTTATTCCAGTAAAAGTTGTTGATGGAATCGCGCCAGACGAGGGAGTGACCGGCCTGGTACTTGAGCTTGAACAGCACGTGCTCGTAGCGCTCCTCGTCGATGAGACCCTTGAGGGACTCCCACTGCGGCACAAATGTCTGCGCCGTAGCCGAGCCGTCGTAGTGCGCGTCGTAAAAGTGCTGAATGACCGTCTTGCCGCTCTTGAGCTTGTGCGTATAGGGCACGTGGTGGAACCAGAGGAGCAGGTCGTCGGGGGTCGTCTCGATCTCCTCGTACATGGCCGCCACCTCGGGAGGGTACTGCCCTGCGTTCCTCGTGCCGTTCTTCACAGTACGGTCCATTCCGATGCTGTCTCCGTCTGCTCTGGTCCACTGACCCCAACTGTTGCCGTCTTGGCTGCGCGGGCTGAACTTGGAGTTAGGCATGGGGGAAAAGAAGGATGGGTGTAATTTTGCTTACCTAGGACCGTAGTGAGCGTAGAGGATATCAGTCAAGGTCTGGATGCCCAGATTGCCGCTGTAGCTCTCGTAGGCGGGCCAGCTCTCCATGGACATCTTGGTAATGGTGTCGACGATCTTGCGGTCAACACCGAATGTCAGACGGGTCCAGTCTTGGACAATGGCAACAACGTCGTCAGCAGGGTTCCACGCAAGTCTGCCGTAGGCGTAGAGGTTGGACATAGCCAGATGGCTTCCCAGCCATGTCGAGTTCGCGCCGACATTGATGACACCAGCGTAGCCGCCGAGAGGCCTGTTGAGGCGCTTGCCAGAAAGAATGTCACTAACAACAGAAGGCTGACCGTCAATGCGCAGATCAAAGTCGAGGATCGTCTTCCAGAGAGGAGGGAGGTAGACCAAGTGATCCTGCTGGCCGAGATACTCCTGGGAGATCTGCAGCTCGATGGCCATGCTTGTGTTCTTCAAGTTGGCAAACAGGGGCGACACGGGCTCCCGGACCTGGAAGTCAATGGCGCCGTACTTGATCTGGACAATGACGTTGTCATCGAATTGGCCGTCGAGGTGCTTGAAGAACTCGACCTGGGCGTTGGCACGATCAGCGCGCCAATCGGACTGGTTCAGCGTGAGATGGTCGTAGACAAAGGCCCTGAACATGACGATGCCCTTCTTGGAGCCGTGGTTCTTGAGCTCCTTGGCGAAGAGGTTGGCGCCATCTGCCAGCGTCCTGTTGTAGGTCAGGGGGCCGGGCTGACCCTCTGAGTTGGCCTTGACCAGGTATCCAGCCATATCGGGAATGCGCGCGTAGAGCTCATCGGTGATATTTCCCCACCAGGCAATGACAGTCTCGTCGAGGGGGTCGAAAGTGGAAAGGTTACCGTATGTCTGGGGTGAGGCGAAGTTGAGGGAGATGCCCACCTGAACACCCCATGGCCTGAAAGCGTCGGCAATCCTCTTCAACCCGTCCATGTTCTCGGGGGAGAGGAGGATGGCATTGGCGTTGACGTTGTTGACGATGATACCGTTGATTCTGGCGGACGCCAGCAGACGGCCGTACTGGGAGACGCGGGTCATGTCGGTGACGACCTTGAGGTTCTCGAAGAAGATGGAAACACCTCCGTACTACTCAAGTCAGACATGTTCGCATTCAATGATGGTCCGAGGAGGAGAATGAGGAGGAGGGAAGATTGCTTACACCACGCTCAATGCTGCCATGAGTTCCTGTGCCATCCATGTTGTCCCATTGGTTTGCCCATCTGACAGGAGCAGAAGGGTTTGTCGCATAAGTCACCTCGGTGAAGTTGCCCTGGGCCAACAGGCTCAGGTACTCAAAAGTACCGTAGAGAGCACCCCTCTCGTTCTGTCCCAGAATCTTGACACCATCTCCCTTGACGCTAAGCCAGAAGCCATCCTCAATGAGGTCCGCTTGAATGCCCTCACTTCCACAAGCAGCAACGTAGTCGTCGACAGTAGCAATGACAACGGAAGCAGCAGCACAGGCGTCCTGGCCGATAGAGACGTCTTTACCGAGGATGCCTTGGTAGCCCTTGGTCAATTCGGACAAGGCGGAAGCAATTGGGCCATGTTCTGTCGCATTGAGACCGATGACGGTAGAGAGAAGAGATTCGGCAACGCCGGAAGACTTGCACTCTGGTAGGCGAGCGTAACGCAACCAGCCGTCGAGGCCGTCCTCTGCGGCAACGAGGCCGAGAGTGGCAAGAAAAAGAGGCTTCCACATGACGTGCAGTGGGTGGAAAGAGGTGCTGCTGGCGAGAAGAACCAGTTGGAGAGAAGCACTTGCTCCAAAAGACCTGTTACATGGTGGGATCGGGGGTGCGCGAGCTTATAAGAAGAAGCGCTGGTTTGTTCATCGACACGCGAGCGGTGCACTTGGGGTGGGATTCCCAGATCTGCGGGACTCGCAGGACCAGGAACAGGAAAACATCATTTTTCCCACAACCCAGGCCTTGTCAAGTCCGAAGTCTCCAAGGGTTCCCGGGTTCCCAATGCAACCGACCGACAGCGGTGATGAGCGGATGGGGTTGACCATGGTATTCAGGCTAAAAGGAAAGCCGACATATTCATCCATGGCTTGTGTGTGGGGAAGCTCTGGGGGAGACCATCGAGGTCGGACTACCAATCCAACGTCTTCCCGAACGACTTCAATGGATCCTTCGACAATGTGACCCCTTTCATCTTGAGTCTAAACAGCGACATGCGGAGAAATTGGCACTAGCGGAGAGAACCTTGACTGGGGGGCAGGAATTATCGTTGGGTGTCTGGCTTGGAAAGGGGAACACGTCCCGGTGTTAAGACAGAGAAGAAACCAATCGTAGGAAGGTTTTCCTGGATCACGCAAGGTGCCTTACATGACTTACAGCTCGTTGTAATAGAAGGATGAAAAAAACGGTGTAGCCTCAAAACAAATGATTGAGTAAGGCAATAGCAAGTGAACGAAGAAACGTCTGATGTTCTCATTTCCCCGCATGGGGAGAGAGAGACAGGAAAGCGGGGGGTGAATCGGGGAAAGAAGGGTGGGGAGATGGTAGGTAATTTTTTTGGAAAGAAGCCCAAAAAGAGGGGAAATAAACAGTTCCCAGGTCCGGCCGGCACTGCTTCGGGTATCCATGTTCCATGAATGACTTCACCGGTTCGGGTTGCCCTTGCTTCTTCTTCCCAGCTCTTTCGTCGAGGACTGATAAATTCTTAGGGGGTAATTCACCAGCTCAGACCTCCAATTTTACTCCTCTCTATGCGGTAGAAACGTTAATTCCATGACTCAAGTCAACAGGAGAAAGCTGCTTGCTACCTTAGTGATCACTGATCACTACGCAGCAGAGCCGTAGTAAGATGATACCAGCGTGTGCTACTGCTGATTGTTCCCCTTCAGAAGGCTCCTAGTCAGTCGACTTCGGAAGAGCTACCCCGACCCCGAAAACCCCAACGGCCCAGCTTCCATAACTTCGCTTTTTCTTCTTTTGCTCGCTTCCCCTCCGCCATTGCCTTCTCTCCTCGGGTATCAAACTCGATCCACGCAGGAGAAACTTCCTGGCCCATTCAACTCCCATCACCTAGAATCGTCATCGCGTCTTGGCCCTGGGTAAATACACGTTAGCCCCAGCACTAACCCATCTGCGCCTCAGCCTCCCCCCCGGTCACCAGCTTCACTTACCCAGCTTGGCAACTCCATCCACCCAGACATCAACCCTCCCACGTGCCTCTTTCGTCTTTGTACTTTGCGCCTTCATGATATCCGTAAATTTCCACCGTCTTCACATGACAGTGCAGCAGGGGACCTCGATCCCAGCGTCCTGCTTACTCGGCCCCGCCCCGATCTTGATGCCGTGCGTGATCTTCTTGATCACCCGCGCCTGGTTGCGATCGTAAAGCCCGTACAGGTCGTGCGTCGGACACGGCCGCTTGTCCGCCATTTGGAGCCGCAGAGGCCTCTTCGCGATGCCGCTGCCGAATTGTCCGCATGTCGTGTAGCCCATGCCGGGGCCGCATTGCACGGCGATCTCGCCCCAGACGCATTTGCACTTGACGTGCTTGTAGATGAAGACTTCGCACATCTTTCCTTTTTGGAGGGGTATGATATGGCAATGATGATGACGTCGAAGAAAAGTCTCGTTTATGCTGTTCTTGGTCTCGATTGCCGCGATATGAAGGTAGGGAAGTGTGGCTGAAGTTTGGGAAGGTGGTATGGTACGTGCGGGCTAGGTAGATGCTACTTCCTACTTCAGATTACAGGCACAAGATAATCCCAATGTGTTGTTTACTTGTTTACTTGTTTACTCATGAGCAGCATTGCCTTTGAAGATACTTGATTCGATACTTTTAGGCCTGCTTTCTACTTATATAAACACCACCACACGCCAGAACTTTGCACTTCCGTGTCTGCCAATGTTTGCACTACAGCTACGTGGCTAACTCGGTGACTGGGTTAGAGGCGCTTCCCCATCACGAAGGGTGCTGCTCTCCCCAGTACCGAAGCCTCGGTCAGAGTAATCCTCGGCGTCCAGCATGCGCGCCAGCAAGGCCTCGATTCTCAGGGACGTTTGCTCGAGAGAATCCAACCTGCTGCTGACGTCTTGCATGTCCTCGCTTCCCGTAAAGGACCCGCGCAACTTGGACGACACGCCCGGGAACATCGAATCTCTCCTAAGAGGCGACTTCTTCCGCATGGTATCATTTGTAATGGACCGAGTGAATTGTCGCCGGATGAGATGGTGCGTGAGCTCGTCGTCCACCGCAATCTCCTCCTCGACGGACTCGGGCGGCGGTAGGTCGAACACGGCTCTTATGTCGCGGTGGGCCGTTATGCGCCACTTCTCCCAGAACCATTGCTTGACCCTCGGGTACAGCGTAAGGCTGCTAGACTGTTTCTTCTCCGGCTGCGGCGCTGGCCAAAGGATTCTGCGTTCTGCCACCGCGATGACCAGTAGTAGCGGAAGGTTGACTAGCCGAACGCTAGCTACATGTATCTTATGGAACCATCGTGGGGTGAGGATGAATTTGAGCGGAATAAGGACGAAGACGGCCAGGATGTTGAAGGGGGGCTGGTACGCAAAAATGGCATCACCCTTGACTCCTTCTAGGGTCAAGACGGCCTTGCGGAACATTATCTCTGCAGTCGCGTTCTTAACGATCGTGCTAAATGTATTGGAAAGCATCGAGACGAGGATGGTGAGGAACAAAGTGTTTCCCAGGAAGGCGAAAGCGACCATTAGGACAGGACCTAAGATGGGGTGAAATTGAACCTAGTGGAAATTACTATTAAGCCTGACGTATAGAAAAATAGGCGAAGAAGAAGGGATTCTTACCGATTCGTTGATGCCCGTCCCGTCAAGTCCAAACCAGATCCAGAGCATCCACTTACTGATAGTGCTACAGTTGGATTAGAAGCTGTACACGGTAGGCCAGTTCCTGGAGCAACTTACACTGGAGGATGTGCACCTTCACCAAGCCACAGAAGCGACAGTAGAAAGCCGCCGAAACACCATGCCGACAAGAACGTGAGAAGGACAAAGTCCGACATCATGGACCGCAAGGAGAGAAACACCAGATTATCCGATAGTAAGTTGAAGGCAAGACGCGGGACCAGTACTGGGGCACCCATCGCAAGTACATCGAGAGCTTGTTGTTTTGGAACAAGTTCTCCGACTCGAGCTCCATGGATGCGCAGTACCGCGTATACAACATAGATGCCAATGAAGCCAACATCAAGGAAGGACCACAGATTCTGGGTGTAAACGTGCCTGTCTTGTCGTGAGTGACGCTGTTGTTTGTAACAAGAGTTGGGTCCTCTTACCAGCCATGCTCCAAAATAGTAGCAAATTGATCGAGAGACCACCCGAAGGCATAGACGGCGAAACAACCTTCCAAGACGGTGAAAGTCTCAGGCTTTCGCTCGGCCATGACAAAGAGATAGAGCGCCAGCAGAATCAGGAACTGGAAAACCTCGAGAATGTTTCTGGTACGAGGCACAAGCAGTCGATATTGGTCCAGTAGTGGCCCTTCGCGTGGGTTGTAGAGTGAGATAGGCTTGAGTTTGTAGTGGTCTGGAATAATGTCCATAAAGCTCGAAGGAGTGTAGACAATACGGCCTTCGTAAATGGCATCGACGCTTGAGACCGTTGTTAGTGTCTGCCCCAAACTATAATCGGCAAGGCGAGAACCTACACTTTCTGGCAAGGAGTAGCACTGAGGAAGTATTTACTCTCAGTCAAGATGGCAACTTCGAGCGAAGGAAGCATGCGGTTGTAGCTGCGATAGGACTCCGTCGAGGCTGCCTCACGAATCCCGGCCGGTGCCATCTGAAAGGGCTCAAAGCCGGCGACCAGGATGTGTGCTAGCAGCACTAAACCATCAGGCCCTTCATTGTCCTCGCTAAAGCGCCTCAATATCCGCGTTGCCACCAGCTCGCATAGAGCTGCGCGACTGTAATTGACATTTTGCCGATTGTTCAAGTGAGATTGCTCATATAGGAACTGAGCACGGTTCACAAGCAGGCAATACACTTGTGACAGTCAGGTTATTTGCAACAAAACGACTCCGCGCAATCGAGATCGATCTCGGTTTCTACGAGATTGAGGATCGAGGTGAGAGAGACGGATGACTTTGAACATACCTATGGAGATGTCGTCGAGCTCATACAATTTGTCGACAAGTGGGCGGACGACGGCGATGTTGATACGCACATCACGAAGTTGTTCCAAACTCAAATAGTCTTCAACAATGGAGATGATGTCTCGTCGTATACGGTGAATATTCGTGTATACTGGTAAGTGGCTGTGAGGATTGACCATGCAGCCATAGAGAGGAACTTGAATCTCAGAGGTGTGACTGGCACGGTTCCGTTGCAGCAGCGGCCGTTCTTCCGGAAGCTGGAGGCGTGCCCGTCGGGTGCGCTCCGACATAGTATGGCCGGACTGTATCGAACTTCCCTTCGTGATGGTATAGAATGTAGCGTAGGCGACGGTGATGTGACATATGGCTGGAGCTAGGGTCGATAGGACATTTAACGTGTAGACAGAGCTCAGTCGTACGTAATAAGTGAGCTATGGGATGTTTGGCGGAAGAAACTGGCGGTGATGGTGAGAAGACGGCGCGAGACACCCACGTGGATAGTGGCAAGTTAGGGGCTGCCCCCACGCTCTCGCCTGTCACAATCCGAGTGGGCTGCTCAAGTTGTTATACTAGATAGCCGGGGAGTCAGTTACAGCCAGGAAGGTGCAACACTAACAACAACAAATGCTAGAGTGGTGGTGGGGAGTTGGTAGCAGGGTGACCGCAAGAGACAACAAATGTCGGCGCCTCACAGATAGCAGAGATGACGCAGATATCGGTAAGGTAGATATTAGATAGGATGCGGATGGAGTAGGACAGGGGACGACACGGCTCTTGGCTCCACGGTGCATGGGGACGCTAAAAGTAGAAGCACATCTGCTTTCAATGCGAGCCTGAGCCCAACAAGGTGGTCTGGGGTAACTAAGGCAAAGAAAGCATCGCCCGCGCGTCAAGTTGTGGAATGTTGCGGAATGTGATTCTAAGCCAGAACTAGCATTCATGAAGCGGCGGCGGCAGCGGCGGCATGCTGCATGTGAAGCATCGGCCGCGTCTAGTACGGGATACTGCGTATAGTGATGAAGAGAGCCGCAGAAGCAGCCGAGGGGAGATACGCCAGGCCATTACAGAAGAGAAGGACAAAGGAGAAGGAAAGTAGTACACACTGACTCGGTGTCCAGGTTGCGACACGGCAATATTGCTGGCTCGCCAGTTGTTCAGGAATTCCTCTTTCTTCGTCTGGTGTGTGTAGTCTCATGAATGACGACACATGCGTCGCGCAAACGCCCGGCTGTGTCCGAACTGTCTTGTCCTAAGCTTCTGCAATGTACGCTGCAACATCAACTGGATCCGTAATTGATGGGTGAAGAAGACTGAGATAAACCAGCACTCGCGCTAGCAAGCCTTCTAGCTGGCTGTGAACTTGTAGCTCCTAGGTACTGAGGAAGGGGGGACGGGAGTTTGAAGTCGTGCACGGTGCCTCTCACCTTTCTCGGGCTGCCAACTTTTGTCGTCCGAGGCAATTCGAGGCTACTCTTTGCTGCAGTTCTTCAGCCCAGGCATGGCACACCTTGCAGCATCCAGCCTGAATCCAAGTGATTGGGCCACAAGCTGAGTGTAGTACCGGTGCACTGAGCGGTGTGTGTATGTGTGCGTGTGTTCAGCTCCACGTCCACACCCACGTCTTCTGAATCTGATGGGTCAAAGGAAAAAGAGCGCTAGCCGCATCAAGCGTCAGAGCTTAGCTACTTGTATTACATAATGCCACTCGTGGCCGACGACGCCTACCAAAAAGTTGCTCTAAACAGTGCCATCCAGGGACCTTATCTTTCACGCGGCCAATATTGGCGGGGCTCATGGAGCTATCTTAATATATCGGAGCTCACCAACGCTCGCGGCGGGGCGGTCGATGCTCTTCTGCAATAAGGTAGTTTTTGATCTAATCGCCGGTATCAAACATGGGTGACCTCTCAGGCACCTTCTGAAGCTCTCAACATTGGGGGATATTTGTTCTTTTTTCATTTTAGGATAAAGTGCGGTAAGCTACGAATTTCATCATCGATGCTCCCATTCATCCCTCCATTGCGCATTTCCTATACGCCAGACGTTTCTCATCAATTTTTTTCACCCCAGTCCTACCGAGTCTTCCGGGAAGAATACTACCATCAGACTATGGAACGCAAAAGCTCATCTTCGTAATCGCTAAACCACTTTACAGGTTGACAGACTTGCGGAAGTTGGCACCGGCGTAGACAGCGTTCTCACCAAGCTCCTCCTCGATGCGGAGGATCTGGTTGAGCTTGGCAAGGCGCTCGGAACGGGCCGGAGCACCGGTCTTGATCTGGCCAGCCCGGATACCGACGACAATGTCGGAGATGGTGACATCCTCAGTCTCACCGGAGCGGTGAGAAACCATGACACCCCAGCCGTCGGCGTAGGAGTCCTTGGCGGCCTGGATAGACTCGGTGAGGGTACCGATCTGGTTGACCTTGAGGAGAAGGGCGTTGGCAGCCTTGAGCTCAATGGCCTTCTTGATGCGCAGGGGGTTGGTGACAGTCAAGTCGTCACCAACGATCTGGATATCCTGGGTCTTGTAGAAGTAGCTCCACGCCTCCCAGTCGTCCTCGGCGAAGGGGTCCTCAATGCTGACAATGGGGTACTTCTTGGCGAGGTCAGAGTACTGCTGAGCAAGCTGCTCGTAGGTGATCCACTTGGTGGGGTCGCTGTCGGGGTTCTTGAAGTCGAGGTCGTACTTCTTGGCGTCCTCCTTGTAGAACTCGCTGGAGGCAACGTCCATGGCGATGTTCATCTGGCCAGTGTATCCGGCCTTCTCAATGGCCTCAGCAATGAGCTCGAGGGCCTCCTCGGCAGTCTGGATATCGGGGGCAACACCACCCTCGTCACCGACGTTGCCGGCGGACTGGCCGTACTTCTTCTTGGCCAGACTCTTCAGGATCTGGTAGACCTCGGCACCCTGGCGGAGGGCCTCGGAGAAGGAGGGGGCAGCACTTCACAATCGTTAGCTGACGGAACAGAACAGGCCAAAGGAGACTCGATGCGTGGGACAACTTACGAAGGAACAATCATGAACTCCTGGAAAGCGAGGCGGCCACCGGCGTGGGAACTGTAGCATGGAGTGAGCAAATGTTGGATGATAGTAGTAGCAAGGAATCGCTTACCCTCCGTTGAGGACGTTCATGAAGGGAACGGGAAGGACGTAGGGCTTCTTGGTACCGGCCAAGTCGGAGACGTGGGCGTAGAGGGGGACACCCTTCTCAGCAGCACCGGCCTTGGCGACAGCCAGGGAGACACCGAGAATGGCGTTGGCTCCGAGCTTGGTCTTGTTGGGGGTTCCATCGAGGTCGATGAGGAACTTGTCGACCTTGGTCTGGTCCTTGACATCAAGGTTCTCCTTGATCAGAGCAGGGGCAATGACGGAGTTGACGTTCTCAACAGCCTTGGTGACACCCTTGCCAGCCCACTTGGTCTTGTCACCATCGCGGAGCTCGCAGGCCTCGTGCTGGCCTGTTCAATGGGTTCTATCAGCTTCTCGATACTTTTTATCTCTCGGCAGGGGTAGGATGCGAGGACGAGGACGACGTACCAGTGGAAGCACCGGAGGGGACGATGGCACGGTGAAGGCCGGTCTCGGTGACGACGTCGACCTCGACGGTGGGGTTGCCACGGGAGTCGTAGACGTAGCGAGCGTGGATCTTGGTGATGGCCATGTTGTCTCGTGTGATGGATTTGTTCCTAACGAAGAGGGGAGAGAGAGGTCAGTAGATGGTCGTGGGGGGAGGGAAAGGCTTTATATTGGCAGAAGGCAGAAAAGAGACAAGTGGGTGAGTCAACAATGTGATAGGACCGATTGGGGGAAATTGCTAAGCTTGCAAGTGCTCGCTCCTTGACCGGACAGCAAGAATTGCCTCAGGGTGGGATGGCATGGTGGGGTGATTCTTCGGACACAGCTTGCAAGCTCCCAGGTGTTTCCCCAAGACTATCGCCAGGTGCAGTGGAGTGGAAACGTATGATGAGACAACTTACTTGTGGAGTTTTGATTGATAGAGCCGGAGTAAGACCTCAGCAATTACTTGCGTGTGAAGAAAAAAAGATGAGGTTGAAGTGATGGAAGAGAGGTTGATGGCGACAGAGGCGGGGGTGAGGGACAGCAGGAGCACGGTGGGAGCAGATTGTTTTGGAGGGGTCGTTTCCCTCCTCAGGTAAGGGTAAGGTAGGTAGGTACCTTCGTTTGCAACCCCACCTGCCCTGCTACTGCACCGGAGTCCTGAGTCCTGACGTGAGGTGAGGTACCTGCGGTAAGGTATCATAAGTTGCTTAACTTAGCTCGGGGCAGGTGCCCACGGCGCCATTGGATCGCTCAAAAGATTGGGGGTATCTTGGACGGGTGCCCAATCGCTTTTTCTCGAGACGAGGCGGGGCATCTGCCCTGTTAGAGCGCTACATGGTCCCCAAGCTCCAAACGGCCAAGAATATCACAAACCAGCTTCGTTTCAAAGTATCTTTGGTACTGGTCTTAGCACCGCCTCACCACGATAAATGCATCTTTGGTGAGGGCCACCTCTCAACAAACCAAGCAATGAAAACGCTGCCCTGCCAAAGCGGCCAGCAGCTGGGAGGGATCTGGAACACGTTTCTGCCCTTGTCTCTCTTCATTGGGCCGTTCTCGCTATTCTCGTCCCTCGTCCCCAGTCCCGAGTCCGGCCTCATAAATTCCATGGCTTTCTGTGTCTTTTCCAGGTGCCCTAATCAGTCACTGACCTCGGTCCTGGACAAAACAAAGGCCGTTGCCATGTCTTGATTCCTTGCCCATCGGCCGTTGGCATCCTCGTGTGGTCTGATTGGCTGCCCACAACCATTGTCTCTCGCACAACGGCTCTCCAGCCATCCATCATCGGGATCTTGTGGACTCTAGGGACTGAGCTTGCGTCAAAGTGCGTCTTCGACAATCTATAAGTCCCGACACCCGATCTTCAAGACGTCTTTTCCCCGGTACCCCGGTCCAACGACGAGCTGCTAATTGGCAATTGAGATCAAACAATGGCATTCTGACTCCACAAATGGTCTGGGACAGGCTGTACGCCATGGATTATCCCGAGGATGTTGCTCGGAATAGCCAGGTGCTAATGCGGTTCTTCCCGATCATGGATCCCGACCCCGTCACCCCGTCTAGTAAAGCCGGGGTAAGACAAGTGTAGGGTCGGCAGGCAAGTCATTCTGTAGGCAGCTGATATTGCCTAGAGTAATTTTAACCTAATCGTCTGGAGCTCAAGTGGAAATGACGTCTGGCTTCGACCCAGGGAGGTGGTTCTCGCCCGGGGAGACAGCATGTTAGTCGGCTTGCCTTGGGCGCATCCGCGTGCCTGCAAGCTCTTTGTCCGCTTTCACCCGAGTATAAGTCATACATAGCACATCACTGGGATATGGCATTCTTCGAGTCTCTCGGTTGGCCCATATAGACGCTGGCTTCCATAGTAGGATAAACAATTTCCCAGCTTTTGTCAACCTGCTCTTGAAGCAAGGCTCTACAGCTAGCGGAAAGCGCACGTGACAAGTTGTCATTGCTACCAAACAATTCTTCAAGCATTACTTCCGGTCCCTAAGGTCCCCTTGCCTCCCGGGGCCTGCTTTGATCATGAGGAGATTTTTGGCCCTTCGCTAAAGAAGTTCTTTTGTAATCGCACGGCAAGTAGGCCGTTGATACAGTTTGGACTCAATGCTGCAACTCGTGCAGATGGAGCAATGTTGGGATCGATCTAACCAATGGCGAAAGTTGAGGATGTGCTACATCATCCCTCTAGCTCAGCAAAGAAGAACTTGCGAATTAAATTGTAAGTGTCGGGGGTTTTCAGTCTTGCTTTGTTGCTACATGCATCCTTTGCAAGATAGTTTCTGCTGTCTTTTCCAATGAGTTGCGGAAGTGTCTAGTCAGATAACTAAGTTATGATGACTGCGGAGGATTTGTGGGATGCACTGTGGTGATCTTAATCGTTGCGATTCAATATTGTTCACGCCCGGAAATTGACGGCTACATCCCCCACAAGACCTCCGATTGAAATCCGTGTTCTAAGGCCGGCCGGAAGGCAGCAAGTAAGGCAGATCCCGTGTTTCTAGCCCGGACAGCACACCCGACGGGCCCTCCCAGGAAAGCACGGGTACGGCAGTGGGCCGTATCGGGTGGAAGCGGCTTGGTGTGGGTCCGGGCGGCGCTGAGGGAAAGAAAGTGACCTGAGGCATGGGGATGTGGGGAGAGTTTTCTACCTTTGCCAGCGGTCTGCGCGGCCTGCGTCGGCGCCTTCCACTTCTGAGACTGGAGCATTGATTTGCACAGAAGAACTGGAAGCTTCCCCTCAGCTGGACCCCACGTCTCTGTTGCATGTACCTTCCTTAGACAGCTTGGGTGCCTAGCAGACCGACCGCTTTCGTTCCTTTGCGGCTTTGGCCCCCTCCCCCTCCTCAATGGCGTTCCGTTTCGCAACAAGACGAACGGTCAACCTAACCCCACGCATCGTCAACACGACGGCAAGACCAGTCACGCGCATGTAAGTACACCTATACTCTTATCCGGTCACTTTCCACCTTTGAGTTACTCATTGACCTAACTTCTTCAACAGTCCCTACCAACTACGAAATCACAACGCCTTTGCGACCCGTTCGCCAGTACTCCGAGCTACCCCTCCTCGACGAACCTCACGACTCCAGAACCCTCAGCGCGTCGCTGCTACACGATACTGCTCCTACAAGAGAAGTATGTGCAGACACGGAGAGCATGGCGGCGCTGGCACGCTGAACTACCCTCGGGAACAGCTGCCTACCAACGTCGTCCCGCGCCACTACGATCTTACTCTTGAGCCCAACTTCGAGACGCTCAAGTTCGATGGCTTGGTGAAGATTGACTTTGACGTGGCGGAGGACTCCAACACTATCTCTTTGAACACCCATGAAATCGAGATCAAGAACACTTCATTGTCCTTCTCTGTCGAAGGACAAGAGAAGAGCCTTGGCGAACCAGTCGTCACCTACGACGAGTCGAAGCAATGGCACAGCTTCGAGTTCAAGGAGAAGCTCACCAAAGGCGGCAAGGGTACCCTCGAGATCAAGTTCGTCGGTGAGCTGAACGACAAAATGGCGGGTTTCTACCGCTCATACTACAACAAGCCGGATGGCACCAAGGGTATCATGGCCACCAGCCAGATGGAGCCTACCGACGCCCGCAGAGCCTTCCCTTGTTTCGATGAGCCAGCACTCAAGGCCGAGTTCACCGTCACGTTGATTGCTGACAAGGCCCTGACCTGCCTTTCCAACATGGATGTGGCTGAAGAGAAAGATTTGCCCTCTGGAAAGAAGGCTGTCAGCTTCAACAGGTCTCCAGTCATGTCCACCTACCTCGTTGCCTTCATCGTCGGAGAGCTTAATTACATTGAGACCAACGACTTCAGAGTACCCATCCGAGTGTATGCTCCGCCTTCTGAGGACATCGAGAGAGGCCGTTATGCCTTGGATATCGGTGTCAAGGCCTTGGAGTTCTACGAAAAGGCCTTTGGTCTTCCTTACCCTCTGCCTAAGCTTGACCAGGTTGCCATTCCCGATTTCGCCGCTGGCGCTATGGAAAACTGGGGTCTGGTCACCTACCGTACTGTTGAAGTCTTGTTTGACGACAAGACCAGTGGTGCCGCAGCCAAGGAGCGAGTTTCGACAGTCATCACTCACGAGATTGCTCACCAGTGGTTCGGAAACATTGTGTCTCCGGACTGGTGGCACGCTCTGTGGCTCAACGAGGGCTTCGCCGAGTTTGCGTCTCGCTATTCCATGAACGCCTTCTTCCCCGAGTGGAAGCTCAAGGAGTCTTTCGTCAGGGAAGATCTTCAGGCAGCATTGGGTCTCGACGGACTCAGGAGCAGTCACCCTATCGAGGTCCCCATCCACAAGGCCGAGGAGATCAACGAGATCTTCGATAGTATCAGCTACGCGAAGGGCTCTTGTGTTGTCCACATGCTTTCGGCATTCCTTGGAGAGGATGTATTCATGGAGGGTGTCCGCAAGTACCTTAAGCGTCACGCTTGGGGCAATGCCACTACGAATGACCTGTGGCAAGCCTTGAGCGAGGCTAGCGGCAAGGACGTTGGCTCCATCATGAACATTTGGACCCAGAACGTGGGATACCCCGTCGTCTCTGTCACCGAGTCAGGCAAGTCAATTAGCGTGGAGCAGCATCGCTTCCTGACCACAGGAGACGTAAAGCCCGATGAAGACAAGGTTCTCTACCCCATCTCTTTGAACGTCCGTACGAAGGGGGGTGTCGACAAGGACTTGATGCTCACTACTCGTGACACCAAATTCGAGATTGACGATGCCGAGTTCTTCAAGATCAACGCCGATTCTACGGGATTCTACCGTACCAAGTACGCTATTGATCGTCTGGAGAAGCTTGGAAACGCCGCGGAACTCCTTTCCGTCCAGGACAGAGTTGGTATTGTGGCTGATACGGCTGCTCTCGCAACCTCTGGCTACCAGAAGACCTCGTCTCTTTTGAGTCTGTTCAAGGCTCTTAGCCAGGGAGGCGAGGCCGAGTACCTGGTGTGGGACCAGATCCTCACTCGTCTGGGCTCAATCAAGATGGCCTGGATCGAGGATGACGCTGTCGTTGACAAGCTCACCGAGTTCCAGCGGGAAATTGTCAGCAGTATCGCACACAAGCTAGGATGGGAGTTTTCGAGCAACGATGGCCACGTTGAGCAACAGTACAAGGCTCTCACTTTTAGTGCGGCCGGTATGTCTGGTGACGAGAAGGTTGTTGCTGCTGCTCGGGCCATGTTCGAGAAGTTCGCGGCTGGAGATAAGACGGCGATTCACCCCAACATCCGAAGCTCCGTCTTTTCAATTGTTCTTAAGTTTGGCGGCGAGAAAGAGGTATGCCTGTTCCTTCAAGATGTCATTGAAGCAAGCCATTAACTAAAATCACAGTATGACGCCGTGTACAAGTACTACAAGACCGCTGAGACCGCCGACGAGCGCAACAGCGCTCTCCGAACCCTTGGCCAATCCCGCGACCCCAAGCTCCGCCAACGCACACTGGATCTTTTGCTGAGCGGCGAGGTTCGTGACCAAGATATTTACATTCCGATCGGCAGTCTGCGGTCGAGCAAGGGCGGCATCGAGGCCCTGTTTGACTGGCTGCAAACGAGATGGGAGGAGATCTACACCAAGTTCCCTGCTCAATCTTCCATGATTGGCAGCATTGTGAGCTACTGCACAAGCGGGCTTACCAAGCAAGAACAGCTGGATAAGCTCGACAAGTTCTTCGCGGAGAAGGAGAAGAAGGGTTTCGTGCGTGCTTTGTCGCAGTCCACCGACTCGGTCAAGGCCAAGATCGCATGGACTTCCCGTGATACTGAGGATCTGCGCAAGTGGTTGAATCTTTAGGTGTATATCTTGATGAGGGCGATTGCCAACGTAGCATAAATGCCTGCCATTCCATCCTGGATGGATGAGGGGGGCAGTATATTGCTGGGTTCGGCAGGAAGATTCAAACAAATAACGCATTGTAATAAAAATGGACAAAAAAGAGAACATCTCCGCTTGTCGAGCCCTTCATTTAAAACTATTCAACTGGTACCTGCTACTGTCTTCATGTGCATGAGAGCATCGCATATGATGTGGGTGATCTTATGGTTGTGGTGGACCCCGCGATTGTTTAGGTAGTCGTCATGTAGGGCACTTTCTTCAGCCAGTGCATACTGAGTTTGTGAGACCCGTTCACCTTGAGCTGCCGCCAATCCGTCCAACGTTCATCCTTCACCTCATCCCGCCCAACCGACCGTGTATCTTGGCCGGTCTCGAAGAAATCGAATTTTCATTGAGTTTGATTATCAATTGCACCATTGCTCACATGGAGTCGAAACGAGTTTCGTCGTGGCAGGTCCGCGCCGAGGCCGGCGAGCCTTTTGCGGTGGTCCGGGTCCGCGACCTTCATAGCACGATCAAAGCCGGCACCGACGCCTGGGGCCGCGGGGGCAAGACGCAGCCAGTAGTTGTCTCCGCCGAGCTGTCAATGTCAGAGCCCTTTGAGGCCGCTTCACTCGCGGACAAGGTCAGCGATGACACGGTGCACTATGGCCTCTTGGCCAAGGCGCTTCTCCGCATACTGGACAACGTGAACCGCTACGAGGACGATTTAAGCCTGGAAAACGCCATGCAGATGATCTGGAACGCGTTGACTGGGTACCACATCTTCGGGTCTGAGGCTGATGGTCTCACGGAGCCGGCATTCCTGAAGGACAAGCTGCCCAGAATTCGCTACCTGGATATCTCCCTCGCCCTACCAAAGGCATCGCTGCTCGGTAGTAGCGTGAGCCGGTCTTACTCCTTGGCCCATGGCTTCCATAATGGTACCCAGGTATGGGCGGTGTACAGCTCAAGTCTACGCATCAACGAGCTGCGCGTGCCTACGCTCATTGGAGTCAATGACAACGAGAGACTAGCGAGGCAGGTTGTCGTGGTCAGTATCGAGATCGAGGGCTACATTGGAAGGGCGGATAATTACGTCGAGATCGAGTCTTTCGTTGTAAAGGTTTGTGACTTCTTCTTCCTCTTATTCGCCGTCTTGATAGTTCTTCACTCCGTCTACATATATATGGATCATTGCTGACTCAAGTCGTGGTACCAAAAGATTCTGGGCGACTCTTCCTTTGAGACGCTTGAAGCCCTCGGTCCCGCTATCACTACGGGGATCAGGCGGTGCTACCAAGAACGATCAGATATTCATGAGCCTCTCAACAATCCAGCAGACTGGACTATCAAGGTCGTCATGGAGAAGCCGACTGCCATCACCATGGCCGCGGCCTCGTGTGTGGAGTACAGAGAACCGCCTCAGGCAAGGCCATAGTCAAATCCATCGTTTTCGTAAAGAAAGAACCACATCAACTTAAGTCTAACATTGTTCGCTATACCGATGTTGATGGTGAGAGAGCTCACAAAGTTTTCGCTATCGTGCCATCTCTCCCCCTTGATTTGTGCCATTTGCCGTCATGAAATCTCACCCAAACTCCCCCCTTCACCGATCCGTAGGCCTGTCGAGTTTCCTACTACTCATGCCTCAAACTTGTCACATTGGGGCACATCTCCATTGGTAATCTCCCGAATGAACGCGGGATCCGGGTCAAAGAGCATGACGTGGAAATGCTCAACCGCGTGAATGGACTTGAGACTCCGCCAGTTCTTGAACCAAATGACCTAGTCATCATCGTCAGCTTCACTCAAGTCCATATTGCAGGTCCGTTCTGAAGATGGGCACCGCCAAATCATGACAGAGGAGAAGAGAGGATGAAAACTCACAGTATCAGGCTCCGTTCTCGCCCGAAACGTCCCCTCCACAAATCGATCAATCTCCTCCCTCGCTTTCTCTGTCAAATCCCCCGTAGCCGGATTCTCCTCTAGCTCAAACTTTGTCCAAACAACAAGATGTACAATCCGCCCATCAATTCCATACGGCCAATCATTATACAAAATCCTATAATCCCCCTCTGCCTCAAACGGCCTCTTACCCTCAGTAGCCCTCAACGGCTCCTCCCATCCAAGCCGCTGCCTCAGCACAAAGTTCATCACACTCCCATGCTCCTTGATCAGGTGGTGAATAAACAAGCGGTACCGCCTCAGCTCGCTCGGCACCCGCTGGAACAGATCCAGACGGTTCGTCTCGACGAGCCGCCGGACTTCCGTCCACGTCTGCCGGTTGTAGGCCGCGTCGGGCGTGCTCAGGATCCCGACGTCCTTGGCCGAGAGGTTGCGGAGGCCCTCCGGGCACTCGTCTGTGCGGCGGTCCGTGGGGACGTTGACTTGCCAGTACGGCAGCGCCGTGGCTGCCGGGCCGGAGAGGCTGCCCATGATTTCCGTGTGTTGTGTGTTGTTTGTGGTTTGTGGTTTGGTTGTGGGAGGTGTTTTTCTGGCTCAATTGACAAGGTCAGGGGTTCTGTCGAGTAACTTCAAGGTGGTGTATCTCGTATTCAATGCAAAAAGAGGATGGATGTCGTTGTCACCGAGAAAGGGGAAGTAGTCCACGAAGCTAAGAGAGAACGGCGATCTGGACGCTTGCAGGGCTGTCCACGGTTGTCAAAGGACAAGACGGCGAATAAGACCTCTTTACCATATAGGGGGGTGGCCCGCACTATTTAGCCTCTTGTTGCCCGTAAAACGGAGTGCCAATATGCCCGCATCAAAAACCTAACAAATCTTGCTTTCGGTGAACCCGTTCTTGCCTACAAAATGCAAAATGTTGCTGCTATTCCATGAAGCAAGAAAGAAATGCATGGAGGCGTAGACTATCAGTCGGAAACCGGCAGCCCACCAAAACCATGCATCCGGCGGCAGCATCCCACGTCGAGACCCCCCCTCCCCTACCTTACCCCCCGGATTGCGCCCGCCCGCTGTGGTGTCCGGAGTAAGGACAGGCATGTAACCGCGCGCATTGTGCACTTCAATTTTTGTTTTTGTTGTGCTTCTCATGTTGCCTTTTCAGATTTCTTTTTCTTTGTCTCACCGCTACTCGTTGCTAGTCGGTTCTGGACCACTCCACACGGAAATGCAGGTCCAAGCTACCGGCAGACCGCAGACGTTACACACAAACGGTCCTCGATGGACCATGCCAAAATCCACGGCAATCCACAGGGTTCAGACGGGGACATAGCCAATGCAAGTGCAAGTGGAGGTCAACGAAATGCACACGCATGGTTTGAGGTGCCTTAATAAAATACTATTGAGTTTGTTCTGCCGCTGCCACAGATACCTTATGCAGACGCCGCCTTTTTGGGGGGAATGATCATTGGTTTCTCTCTACTGTTCCATCTCGCCTCCAGATTGTCCTCTTGTGATGATTCTCAATGCATCGTGACATCTGACTGGAATGTGCTCAAAATACAAAACCTGCAAAAAAAGCCACTTAGTGCTCAAGCAGGCGCAAGCTACCCTGCACAACGACGTTCTCGAGGATGGATCCAGGAGGCACATCAATAGTGCTGCCTTCCGTCGCAACAATGATGACGGTACCCTTGAGTGTGACGCCACGGCCGAGGTTGACGGCACCAGTGATGGTAAGGTGGTCCAACTCGATGATCTTAGGGATAGAGGGGATGTGCTTCTGGAAGTCAGAGACCTTCTTGAAGTCGCTACCCAACTTGATGAGAGGAGCGTCACCGAAGCGGCTGGAGCTCATTTGGAGCTGGCCGTGCTTGACGGTGTAGAGATCAGACTTGACGAGCATCAGGTCAGAGCAGGTCTTGACGGGCAAGAAGCGACGACGGGGAACGTTGACACCGTGGGCGTTCTTGAAGTGACGGATGGCAGCACCGACAGCGGTCTCCAGCTGGATGATGGAGATGTCAGACTCGCCCTTCTTGTCACCAGGGATGGTCTTTCCGTTGGGAATGATCTCCATCTCGAGCTCATCGTTCTCGACGACGCGCTTAATGGCCTTGAGGTTCAGCCAGATGTTGTTGGTGTTGAAGTACTTGAACTTCTTAATGGACTTGAACTCGTTGACGTGCTCCTTGGGGACCTGGGCGATCTCGAGAAGACGGACGGATCCCTCGTAGTCGATGATGGTACCACCCTTAACGTCGGCCTTGGTCTTGTTGGTCAACTCCATGATGTACTCAGACTCAGTCTCAACCATGTGCTGGAGGATACGGAGATCGACAACGGCACCCAAGTTATCAACGTTGGACAGGAAGACAACCTCAATACCGCGCTCAATGAGCTTGTCGAGAATACCAGAGTTGTAAAGCGACTCGAAAACGTCACCGTGACCAGGGGGGTACCAGTCGTTAATAGAAGAGTCGGTCTTCTTAGGGACGGGAAGGAGAGAGTCCTTCAGGATTCTGGGGTATCTGGACTGGTTGAAGGTGAGGATGTCGACGTTGTGGCCCTCGTACTTCTTGATGATGGAAGCGGTGTCCTCATCGGTGTTGAATGAGTTCATGAGGATGAAGGGCACGTTGACATCGTAAGTGCGGTTGAGGTACTCGATCTGGCGGACAGACAGGTCGAGGAAGGACATGCCGTCACGGACCTCGATGACTGACTTGGGGCCGACACAGCCCATGGAGGTACCGAGACCACCGTTGAGCTTCAGGACGGCAAGCTTGTTGAGGAACTGAACGGACTCGGAGTTGGCGAGGTCCTCGTAGTCAACAACCTGGCCCTGGGCGGGGGGAGCAATACGGTCCCAGTCGCTATCACACTGTTAGCTGGAAGGCTATTTGTATCGCAGGTTCCTGTTGTACACTTACACGGCGTTGCCCTTGGCCTTGTCGTTCAGGTAGCGACGGAAGAGGGCGAAGAAGTTGTCCATCTCCGTCTCGAACAGCTGGAAGATGATTAGAACTCGTGTTCCCAAGATTACAGTTGGGGTGGATTTTTTTGCTTACCTTCTTCTGCTCGGGGTCGGTGACGGTCTCAGAAAGCTGGGTGAGGGCATTGCGCATCTGGGCAGCAGCAACGCTGGTGGAAGTGTTCTCGAAAGCCTGGACTTGAAGTCAGCCGCGCATTCACGAAGAAGGGACTAAGTCCTGCAATGGAAGCTTCTCAAAGTGGGGAATGCTTTGAAGCTATCGTCGAGTGATCCGCTGCGGGGCCCTGCGACCAATGTGGCCAGCTTGCTGCTACCCCTGACAGGCATCGTAGAGCTTGTTGCCGGGGAGAGAACAGCGCACACCGTACCGCCCAGGTTGTCTCCTTCAGCCATGTCAAGCCAGCAAATGTCTTTGGAGGTATTTGGCGTCTCACGCATTGACGATGCTGTACCGTGCCGTTTGGGACTGGCCCAGCCGCGGCCGTCGAGGTAAAGCAAGTAGCCAAGCGTCGTACGACATCTCTGGTATTCGACATGGAAGAAGTGACACAAGCTAGCAGGTATGGCGGTTCTTGAACTGCACAAGGCCGTGTTCTGTCTGTCTCGGGACAAAGCAGGCACCGGTCGCGGTACTCGACATGCCTCGCTCAAAGGTGCACTGAAAGAAAAGGGTGGATAGAGTATGTACCATGTGGGATCTCGTCTTGCCGTGGTGACGGGAGCTGAACTCCTCATCGCTCTTGCCCTGGCCGCCGAGGGGGGACTTGAGGTGGGTGGGAAGAGCGCTCTTGATCGCTTGAGCCATTGTGAAGGATATTTGACGCGATTCGCGGTGTGAAGCTGAATATGCTGAGAAAATGTCAATGGATTGTACCGAAGCAAAGAGCGAAATTGTAGTCTATCGTAATTTTTTTGTAGGTGTAGAAGGGACGGTGTGGAAAAGGAGAGGGAAAAACAAGCGGTGATTTCGAGGACGGCGGGGTAGTGCCTACATTGACAGGGGATTCGCCGTAGGATTTGCGGCGAAAAAGATTGCTGGTAGCTCAAAGTGTTCTGTGTAGCCTGACGTAATTTGTGAGCTTCTCCATGTGATATGGGAGAGGAAAAATAAAGCAAGGTGCGGAATGAGGCAGGTCGGCGGAGGGAAAGCAAGGTACTCCCGCCGTGAACGAGAGCTGGGGGGAAGGGCGGGGGAGGTACCAAGATGGCGAAATTGGTAGAGAGAGGCAAAGTGAGGTGCTTCGGAAGCAAGATCAGAACTGCAATCTGCTTGGTTGGAGCAGATAGAGTGCGGTTGCGGTGATCGGCGGTACCTTGGGGTGAAGAAGGGTTGGAGGGGAAGCAGGTGGCGGGCAATTGGGGATGGGAGTCCAGGTGAGGTACTTACAGTAATAGCAACAGCAACGAGCGAATGTGGTCGAGAATCTAGTTGGGATGGAGAGGGGAGGAAGAGGAATAGAATATATAAAAAAAGGAGAGCCGTCAAAAGGAATCAGAGACAGGCAGGAGGCGGCCGGGCATTTGGCTTTATAGCGGTGATATCACTGTGGGAACCCAGTCGATTCGCATTTGCCAATTTTCATTTTATCTCGTTCCCCCCGTTCGAGGAGGAGACAGCCACGCACGGGGAGGGGCGCCTGTCACTGGAGACACCCAATGGTCGACACACCTGAGGTCGAAATGCTGGGTGCTGAGATGGGCAGTCACCGTCAATAACCTTGCCTTCCAGGTTCCTTCCTCACCTCCTTCTCGAACCCGATGCCATATACGAAGTAGGTACGTACTTTGTGCCTTCCACCCCTCCACTACCTACCTACCTTACCTTAAGGTACCTTACGGAGTACTACCTTATGTACCTCATCCCACCTTGCCTTCACACCTCAACTTGTGCTGGCTTGTTTTTATTTCGCGATATCTGTACATCATTCACCACACAGCACAGCACGCCTTCTAGTCACATGGGCATTGTCTTTTTTTCTTTCTCCTCTTTTCCTTCTGACTCAATGCTCGTTTGCTCGTACTCGTCTCCGATATGAGGACAGACAGGAGAACAATCAAAGCAAGCTTCGAGACCCAAAACATTTCCCAACCCACCTAACCAGTCCCCGAAGCTAATGCTCTGTTCCTGATATCGCCCACCCAAGCCATTCCAGTCCACCTTTCCTCGACTGCAACCCACTGACCTTTGGCCTGGCCACGGCTTTCTCAGCACCCCTGTGGCGCTTCAGACTAGTGACGCCTAAACGAGAGAAGCGGCGGCTGCAGCTGTAGCTGGCTCGCATAAGTGGCAAAGAAGGAGGCGCGGAGAGAGCGAGAAAAAAAATCAACAACAGCAGTCTCCGGAAGCACGTCGTTGTTTTTATCAAGAATCGGGGGTACACAAACAGATACGGAGATGCAGATCATCAAAGGGTGCGGATAACGGCCAAATCTGCAAGGCGCTGCGACCAACCATCCCACTTCATCCAATCTACATACTCCAGGAAAAGCCAGAGACGACACCGGGAAGGCCAATGCTCAGACATACAGGAGCAGTATCTGAGCCACGATGCTGGTCAACCGTCAACGTCTTCCGTCCGGGCAGAAATGAAGTTCTGTCCTTCGGAGTCCCCATTCACCACCTCCAACCTCATCTCAAGTTCCAGCAACAGTCCGCGGCCACGGCCGCCCACACGCTGCTTCACGGAACAGCCGTCCGAACAAGTACCTCCCGGCGATGCATGCACTAAAAAAGGTGCGAGTCTCCATTCACTGCGGAGTCAAACCGTCTCCGCGACAAAGTCGCTCGTCTTGAATGGATATCCTGAAATATCACACCCCCACCAACCAACATCCTCGCCAGCTGTAAGATGAGCTGGACCTGCCCTCCCACTGTACTTCCAACCATATTCCCCCTAAAATCCCAACCACTTTGCGGAGTCCTTGTCTGCAATAAGGCGGGACACGACACCTGATGTACCCATTTCTTCACCTACTTTACCTCAGAGAACCCGCCCCCCACCTGGGGAAACGTTACGGTGTGCTGCTCGCATTGCAATAGCTTCCAAGTTCGTCGGACCTACTCGTGGTCACAAAGACTTTGACGCGCACCTTCTTTCATGTTTTTTGTTTGAAAACCGAGCAAGGCTGAGAGCCCATCTCAAAGGAGGACCAAGCGGTGCGGTGTCCGCCTTTTCTCGCCGACGTCCCTCCATCAATGGCGCTATTCGTCAAAGATAGTCGGCCGAGCTGAACGCTCAATGGCCGGACTCGCCTACGCTTCACACACCTCATCGCCCATCGCTCAACAATAGGAGTTGCCACCACCCTGAACTTCCCGACTTCGCTAAATTGATCGGGACCAAAAGTGCTCAACTCGGCGCCCTTTTCTTCAAGCAGCCGGCTTTCCGCCTCAGTATCAAACAAGAATCGCCGTGCCATTTACCTTCTGGTCCCCAGTCTTCGTCACAACCGGAGCCGATTTTGTAGCCAAGCCGGCCTTCTTCGGAATCTTTCCCGAATAATCGCTCTTCAAATTCCCAAATGATCCAACCATCGGGTTTCTGATAATGTTCGTTGAACCGAAAATAAAACACACAACCCCTGAATGCCGGCATCTGCGCCCCGGGCGGGCCAATTCCCACTTGGCTTCTCGTTTTAGTCAGTTCCCAACCGGCTCAAAGGAGGACGGCTATTCCGCACCCACACGAAGGCTATCCCGCACCCATACTAGGCTCGTTCAGGGAAATAGTGGGCGAAGTAGGTAGCTACCATACCAATTAGTTCTAGCTAACTCTAGCAGCTAGGTTACTCGCATATTAGCCTAGGTAACGTAATTATATAATTATTATAGTACTTTTCTATTAACTATATTAGGATAATTTTATATAGATTTAACTACCTAATTTCTACCTTTCTATATTTCCCTTAAGCTTCTATTAATAAATCTAATAGATAATTCGATTAACGACCTCTTCGCAAGGGTTCGGCTATATTAATAAGACCTTAGCTATAGGGTAAATAAGCTAAAGTTAAGAAAGTAGCAAAACGGCTCCTTATTATGCTTAGATCTCGTATATAAGCGTAGTAGTTAACCGCGGCCGTTAGTAACTAAGTAGTAGCAAATAACAACGTTAAAAACGGGCTACCTGTAAAGGGCTCGTATATACTAATACCCTAACCTATAGGATAGGTATAGGGTAAGTATAATATATAATAAGTATAACTACGAATCGCTAATAACGGAATTGTACTTATTGAGCCGGGTCTTCCGCGAGCTAAGTTAATAAGAGCTTAGTACTAAGGTAGTTAGTATACGAGTAAAGTTATTATTAGTAATTAGAAAACTTATTTTTATTTATATTACTACCTAAATTCGTAATTCTATAAGTATACTCGTTAAATAGCGCGACGTTAAGAATACTTAGTAAAAGCTATAGCGGGATAAGTATAGCCCGCTCTCTTTAATATAAATCTTTTTATAAGAGCTTAATGCGAACGACGATATAGTATTTTTAATAATTTACTATAGCCTAACGATGGGAAAGATCGATAGCGTATTTTAGATATATATATAGTACTTTAAGATATAAAAAAGGAATCCTAAATTGCTTATAATAGATAATACTTATAAAGTTAGTAATTATATAGTTAAAAGTTATTAAGACTTACTAAGAGTATAAGTTAACTACTTTAATATACTACTCTTTTAAATTAATAATACGACTTCTATCTATACTATATTTAACGCGGCCTTTTACTTCGTATTAAGTAAAGACGCAAAAACGTTCGAATAAGTACTAAGCTAGTTAAAATTAGTATATAAAAAAAGAGAAATTCCGTAGCTAAAAATAATTATTACGGACTTCGATAATATACTAAAAAAAGCGGTAAGGGTAGTATTTTTAAATATACCGTAGCAAATCTACTTTTAGTATATCCTTAAAAATATAGTATTAAATATTAAATAGAAATAGGATAGTATATATAAGGAGGAACCCGTAGCTACTTAGGATTTTTATAAAGCTACTTCCGAGCCTTGCCTAACGGCGCCGGAAAATCCCTTACTAAGCGCCGGATTTAATTTACTTAGTAAGTCGCTAGAATAATTAGAGGGCTCTAATTAGCCTAATTTTATTAGTATAGTTTTAGTAAATTTTTAAAAGTTAACCGACTAGGTAGAGATTATAAAAAGTAAGGATCTTACGGCTAGCCCGCTAAGTTAATTTTTAACTTACGAATTACCTTAACTAACGTAGCCCGTTAATAACGATTATTTACCCTTAATTAATTTACTAATTCTATTACCTCCGCGGCCCTTAATTATACTAATTCTATTATTAAATTTATATAAGTAAACGCCCGATAGAATTCTCGAGGCTTAGTGCGCGTACGTTTACGCTAGGACGGAAGAAGATTTTAACTATTACTAGGCTATATTATATAAACTCTTCGATCTTACGTAGCCACGAATCGTCTTATACCTCGAGGCCGTCTACGTACCCTTTTATAAGTAATTTTATACTTATTACGTTAGTTACTTACGGAATTACGGTCTTAAAGTCACGTCGCACATAGAGTCTACCTATACCGAATTAAAGTCGTACTTACGTAATCGGCTCTTTAGTCTTAACGGTCTTTAACTTATTATTATTAAAATAGTCCGCGTAAAAGAATTACGATTTAAAAAAGAAGTGGGTAAATAAAAGTATCGTATTAAAGTAGGCTATAATAATATACTAATAATAAAGAATTTTCTATTAATAATCTCTTTTTGAGTACTCGATTAAATCTAGTATTAATTACGTATTACTAATAAGGTCTTTCGTAACTAGTCTCGTACGAAGCGCCTACTTTCTTATACTAGTACCTTCTCGAGCTAATAGGGCCTACCGTGCCGCTACGACCTCTTTAACTATCTAAAGTTAAATAACCCGGCTCGGTTACTTACGAGAGATAATATTAACTATTACTAGTAGTTAGATTAGGATCTAGTACGTTAATATTAATACTTTTACTAAAAAAACGTTAACTAACCTTTTTTACCCTATTTTAGCTTACGATTATTACTCTCCGTAAAGTAACCCGTGAGGCTAACCTAGAAGTAATTAGGTTACGTATTAACTATTAATAGTCTACCCCGATTATTACTAACGATAATACCCTCTATAGTAAGCCTACTGCACCCTTTTAGAGTTAGAATATTACCCTTAGTTTATATAATAATTTTACTTCGAAAGAGCCCTCCGCTTTTAAATACGACCTACTACCGTATCGAAGTACTACCCTTACTCTTATACTAGCCCCTACGTAGCTACGAAAAAAGCAGAAGACTACTGCTAAGGCTACTAACGAGTAATTAGTTAATATACTACGAGATACTATTACTTCTACTATTAATACCTAATTTAACTCACGGCTTAGCGAGTTAATTACTAAAATAGCGAGACTTTAGCAGCCTTAACTACTACCGTAGTACTCTTTTTAGTAGTCTTACTACCCTTATAACGTACCCTTTCCATTAAATTAGTAGTAGTACTACTACTTCGTAGCCTCGTTAATACCTCTACCGTAGCTATAATTAGGGTAATTAGGCTAACAGTATAGTAAGTAGTAGGGGGGTAACTAGCAGAATTAGCCATAGGGCAGCTAGCAAAATTAGCCTAGCCCGAGCCCGAGTGGGCAATAGTAGCAATTCTAGTATTATAATAGTTAATTTAGTAAATAATTACACATTAAGTAGTTATAAACTCGCAATTATTAACGTAGTAATTTCTATAGTAGTATTACTACTAAAATCCATATTAAGGCTGTGCTACCCCAGTTTTTACTAAATAGAGCCTAGTATGGGTGCGGGATAGCCTTCGTATAGGTGCGGAATAGCCGTCCTCGGCTCAAAGGGGAGGGATCTATCAAAACCCATCCCGCCTGGTCGGAAGTTTGATTACATACTGCTACCCTGTGGGCCGGATTGTCCAAGACGGATATCTCGCAGAACACGGATACAGAATCCCTTTCCGACGCGATCATCTATCTCATCTGTGGCGGTGGCCCATTCACGATGAAAGGGAGCTAAGGAGACTTTGACGTGTTGTCGGCCATCGCCCGGACTCTACTATCTTGTACTAACTCTTTCAGCCCGGCAAGCCAAACTCGCGGGCGTCCATTCAGCCTGATCAGACACGACGCCGTCGGCTGTCATGCGAAAGACCCCTGTTCTCACATATGTCTTTCAACCTGTTATGTAAGCGCAATTTGCGCTTTTTGACGCCATTTTCAATAATCGCATTCTTCACCCGGATCTCGAACTCTTTTGCCCATGCTCATCCTTGTCTAATAAGCAATATGTTGCAAATTCCAGGTTGCGCTGATTTACCTCCACCGGGGTGGTTAGTGAAGTAATGAAACGAAACAATGAGCCAAATGTCATCACCAGGGGCCGTAACCCCAAATAGAAACAGGCGGCGGACGGGAAGCCTCAGTCCGTATCTGCACTTGGACTGGATCGCAGACAAGGCCGCCCCATCAAATGAGGCTCTCCGATGCGTCCCACGTGGGGGGAAGGGGAGGAAGCCCAGACCACACCACAACGCCCAGAAGTTGAACCCCCATAGGACGCAGTGGGTGGATGATCGGGAAGCAGCAAAGTACAACAGCGGCGACTTTGAAGACTGATGAACGTTGCGGTCTGTACGTGTGTCAGAGTAATCGTACAGAAATCGCTATTATGTTGGGGTAAAATACAAGACAATCGGCCACAATGTAGCTAAAAGCGTATCGAGGAGTTGGTCTGCCATTGGCTCGATATCACCGCCTGCGAGGTTCTATTGAGCCTCGACGTAGTCTTTGAGGTAATGCCTGTACCCATGGTTTTCCGGATAAAGAATACGAAAAAAGCGGTAGTGTTCATTGTCAACGGTTCGAGGAAGGCCTTGAGACTTGCAGATACACGCTGCTTAACACCTTTCCTGGGCTCTTGTGCGTTAAACTTAGCCGCGCAGTCTTTAAACAAATATAGACAACACATCCAGTCAAGTGGGTGACACAATTGTTTGCCGCTCGATACTGCTTCGGCGATTATTTCCCGTGTTCTATATATTTCTCACATAATACGGTTTAGAAAGCGCAGTATGGTGATGACAATGATAGTAATGGTAATAAGGTGGCAAGTCTTGCGTTCACCAGCATCCTGTTTGTTACCTCCTTGCCAGTCCCGACACGCCGGCACATTGGACGTGACATTTATAGTATTCTGCATGATCCAGCTCGCCAATGAAGTTACGTGTGGTGCATAGCTCAAGTTCTAGTTTACTGTTACTTGTCTTTTTTTTTTTCTACCTTGACTCTCATCGCAAGGAGTCAGAGTATACGACAGACGGTTGTGAAGAAGGAAGATTGTGTCTATTTCGGTTTCCGTGCGTGTATTATGCCAGCTGTGACATTGATCTCGCCCAAAAAAAACGCCTGGTCCTTCCTCGGTGATGGGATCTCTCGTTCACGAGGACCCTCGCTCTAATAATCAAGCTACCAAACGCCGCCCACCTGAACCTCCAAAGAAGGGGTATAAACGCTCGAATCACACCGCCGTCTCGTTATCTTCCCAGTAAGGTACGATGCCTTATTTCTTCTTCTGCTTTTCCATGTTCTCCGTACAAACGGGGCAGTACCACGTCCCGTTCGGCTCGCTCTTGAGGCCGACGCACGACCAGTGGAACCACTCGTAGGGGCAATCCTCATTGTCGCACGCCACCATGTCGCCGAAGCTGACATTCTGGCACGTGCAGTATTTCTTGTCGTCGCCAGCCTCGTCATCCTCGGCGTCGAGCATGCTGTCGTCGCCTTCGCCGTCCTTGCCGTCGCGCGCGGGGGTACCACTCGTACGGTCTACGCGGCTCCTGTGGTCGCCGTCGTCGCCGCTTCCACTCTCAGCATCCGATAGCTCACTATCTGCCGTCGAGGCTGGAGAGTTGCGGCTTCCGGCCTTTTTCACGCGGGACAGGGACGACTTGTTGCTGCTGATCGGCTTCTTCCGGCCTGCGCCGCTCGGCGTCCCTTTCCGTATGCCCGAGACGCTCGATGCCTTTGTGGACGACGATCTAGGCCCTGCGCTGCCCGCTCGCACCGTGCCGTTCGGTCCAGGCGTAGATCCCTTCGGTGTTCCTGGACCTAGTGACGAGTGCCTAGCCAGATTGCTCGACGTCGCAGGAAGAGCACCCAGTCCGGAGACGGAACGCGGTCCTCTCTTTGGCGCGCCGCTCCCCGGCCCTGCCGAACTCTCCCGAGCCTGGCGGTTCATTATCATGCTAGCAGCAGGCGTCGCGGGGGCCGAGGAAGCGTGCTGCTGGGACTGGGCGTTGCGGATCTGGGGGTTTCCTGCGCGGGCCGTGACCGGACTCGACGAGTTGACGATCGGATTCAACGGCGTCGCGGTAATGGCAGAGGCGACGAGGTGGCTCGCGGGGTTGATGGATCGGCTTGACGGGGCAGAGTGGTTCGCGGCGCTGGGCCGGATGAGGGAGGGGCATTCGTCGGGTTCGTTGAAGCCGGGCTCGGCGCGGTCGTATAGCATCTTGATGTGTTGATCGAGGTTTCGCAGATGCTTGTCCATGATGATCTGCAGCTTCTGCGTCAGGGCGATCTTCTCCGTGGCGAGCTGGTCGGCACGGATGAAGTTGTCGCGCATCTGAGATCGCATGCCCTGCTCGCGCGGGTTCGTCTCGTGGCTGCCGTTCGCCCTGATCCATTTCTGTATCTTTCCATCGCGGTCCTCAATCAGCTTGACGCAGTCGCCATACTGCCGGTCCCTGTCGGCGATCTCATCCTGCAAGAAGCGAATCTCTTCTGGAAGGTTCTGAACGCGGTTGAGCCAGTCGTCGAGGATGATGGCCGGGTCGAGGGCCTCGGCCGTCGGCATCCTCCTGACGAAGTCGATGGACAGATCGTCTCTAGGCATTTTGCGTGTTAACGACGGTCCCAGTATAGATATGTACCCTTCGTTGAGTAAACAAGCGGCTGGGATCTATTCTAGCAGGCAGACGAAACGGCGCACGCCCAGCAAGAACCACAGAGACGGATCAGGAGCAGGATGTATATGAAGCCGAAAGCAGGGTTCTTGCTAGAGACAGGACGAGGACGAGGACGAGGACGATGATAGGTCGAGGGAGGTAGAGGAAGCAACAAAGGTCTCGTGAACCAAAGTCATCGAGATTAGGATGGGAACTATGCGAGGTAAGAGGGATCGGGGCAGAGCAGAATAGAGGATATGTGGAGTGTAAGGTATAGAGCAGAAAGCCGGCAGTAGGTGGGAATAGTGGCACGCAGGGTGACGGGGCGGGGCGGCACGGCACGTCCGCCGACGGGGTGGGCTGACCGAGAGGGCAGAGGACCACTGGTGATATATGCCTTGGCTGCACTTGCCCTTTGGGAAGGCGATGACAGAGGAGTCTTGGACAGGAGAGACTTTGATAAACAGAGACCCCGGCCACGATCTTCCGCAACGAATAAAGTGACTAGCTTGGCTCACCTAAAAGGAACTGGAGACCGGAAGGAGAAGGGGGCGTCGAATCGACAAGAGAGCTCTCTCTAATCGATTTCTCACCAGCTGCGGCAGGCGAGTCGAGCGTCGAACGATCGAGTCGAGGCGAGGCGAGGCGACGTACGGGCCCTGGCTCGTGATCCCGGAATGTATTTTATTCACGGAGTAATGAAAATTCCCTCGCTGGATACGGATAGAGAGATGAAATTTTCTCGGATGCGCGTGGATGTGGGGTGGAAGAGGCTGGAATCACGTTTGTGCAGCGTGGTGGTCCAGTTCCAGTTGGATTCGGGTGGTGTCAGTGTCACCGGTGGGTGGGCAAGTTTGCGAGGTCCAGCTGGTCATGGCACTGTCCACTGACAGCGAGACGAGCTGAGCGGAGACGGGAGTTTTAGCCTCCGGTTTCCATGCTAATGGAGGTGCCATGGTGCGTTCAGGCTGCAGGTCCATGTGCTCAGGCGAACCTTGAGTCATTTGAATTGATTGGGCACCTTATGGATAGTGGATCAGAACGCATTTGATTGGGTCCAATTTCAATGTCTCTCGCAGAGTCGCAGGTACCTTTCGAGCATCTGAGGATTTGTTCAAGATTCCAGCCTCGAGAAACCAGATTCGGATAGACTCGTTCCTCATAACGCATTCATGACAGAAAGTAAAGATACAAGCAACGCACGAGAGAAACCTTACATCCTTGGAGGCTAAGGTACTCTCTCCAAGTTCAGACAGATTCGAAAGTTTTGAAAGATGTGTTGACAAGGTTTCTCGAGATTTCTTGCATGTACCAGAAGGTCAAGCCACAATGAGGCTGGTGCACTCCAGCCATTCTGGGGAAAGCGTGGCCAAATGCGCCCAAGGTGGCTGGTCTTTCCAATGGAGGGAAACCTTGCTTCGCTTCAGCAGGGGCCCACCTAAGGTACCGGCTTCCTCCCCCGTCGCCTGCCACATGAAAGTACTATCCAATTATGAAGCCAGCCCTCGAACGAAACCTCGCAAATACATCACGAATCAACGTTGAATCACCAACCGACAACCTCACGGACGACTCTGGAAATTAACGCAGATACCAACAATTGCACCCCAACCCAGTAGGACCATCGAAGACTCACGACTTTGTCCTTGCGACCACCTCTGACTCAACCAGCAATACCAGCCATCCATTCTACCATTGCTGAGTAAAACTCATCTCAGTCGGCCAGCCCAGGACCCCACCAGTCACATTCGACAACAATCGAGACTCATCGTGAGCTTTGTCCCGGCCGCTCCGGCGGGAAGCCCGTCGCTTGCCATCATGGACACAGACGCGTACCGATTTCGTGTCCCCAAGCCGAATTATTTGCCTCACAGGACCGACAAGGACGACATCGTCGAAGAATACGAGCCTCTCGGCCAAGCCAGTGAGCTCGACAACGCCAAGTACTTCGCGAAATGCAAGCGCATAGCTGAGGAGTCTGGCATCACACGACCAAAAGGCTACAATGTCTCTTTTCATTGCAATCCCGAAATGGAGAAGCACCACTTCGGCCAGACTCATCCTATGAAACCCTGGAGACTTACCCTTTCCAAGAGTCTCATTTATTCTTACGGCATGTCTTTCGCCATGGACAACTACATCGCCCGCGCTGCCACATACGAAGAGCTCAACGATTTCCACTCGGACGACTACTTGGACTTCCTGGGCACCGTCCTGCCCGAGCCTGTTCCTAGGGACGTTGAGAACGCTAACCCCGATCTTAAGTTTAATCTGGGCGGCTCCGACTGTCCTCTGTTCGAAGGCCTCTACGACTACTGTTCCATGTCAGCAGGCGGATCTCTTGATGCTGCGCGCAAAATATGTTCCAACCAGTCCGACATTGCCGTATCATGGGGAGGCGGCTTGCATCACGCGAAAAAGGCCGAGGCGTCTGGATTCTGTTACATCAACGACATCGTCCTGGCCATTCTGCAGCTATTACGGTGCTATCCTCGTGTCCTTTACATCGATATTGATGTGCACCACGGAGATGGTGTTGAGGAAGCATTTTATTCCACCGACCGCGTTATGACGGTATCATTTCACAAATACGATCCTCTCAACTTCTTCCCCGGTACCGGCGGACTGGACGATAATGGTCCTAAGAACGAGCATAACCCAGGCGCGCACCATGCGATCAACGTTCCTCTGAACGACGGCGTCACTGACGACCAGTACAAGTGGCTCTTTGAGAATGTCATTGGCAAATGCATGGAGAAGTTCCGACCTAGCGCTATTGCGCTGCAGTGTGGTGCCGACTCTCTCGCCGGAGATCGTCTAGGACGTTTCAATCTTCAAGTCCAAGGCCATGGTGCCTGCGTCGAGTTCTGCAAATCATTTGGAGTGCCCATGATCCTCTTTGGTGGCGGCGGGTACACTCCCCGCAATGTTGCCCGCGCCTGGGCCTTCGAGACCAGTATTGCCATCGGCTGCCAGGACAAGATCGATCCCATCATTCCGACACACGCTCCTTGGAGAGACCAATTTAGGTATGAGGAGTTGTTCCCGACACTGGAACAGATTCTCGGGGAGCCGCGTGTCAACCGCAACACACGAAAGAAACTGGATGAGGTGTTGCAGCATGTGACAGAACAGCTGAGGTTCGTGCAAGCAGCTCCAAGTGTACAGTACCAGACCATTCCCCCAGACCTGGGCGGTCTGAGAGACGACGTTGAAGCAGCACTCAAAGAACAGCGAGAGGCCGAGAATGACGCTGTGAGGAAACAACGAGAAGAGGCCGTTGGACAAGCCATGGAGTATTGATGAGGGCATAATGGCATGTCACCACAGCGAGGGAGTAGGTGGATACCAAATGGAGTTTAGGGTGTATGAATGATTTCAAAGTCTAGCAATTGGCGTCCTCAACGTCAGGGCGGGCCAGGCGGGAACCTCAGGGACTACTCTTCCAGTACCTTGTTGCTGGGAAACATCAGACGAGTACCAATTGAGTCCCGTATTCGTCCTTGAAGAGACCGAGTCATTACTGCTGCATCAGGATATGTCATCTATGAACACGATTCCTGAGGCGAGCCGCTCATGTGTGATGCTAATGGACTCATCTCAAGGCTTGGCCAAAACCGGATGCAATGAAGGAAACTCTACGACTTGAAAGAATCATCTTACATCAATGATCAGGGCAAACCTGATATTGTGGTTGCCAGTCGTGCGTTGCAATATAGAATAATGGAACCAACCTCAGCAACCCGCCCGGCTCTCATTCGACATTATTCGGCTGCCTAGATAGCGGGGCCTCGGATGAGGACGTATCTCGGCTGCTGCGTCCAAACTTGGCTAGATTCAAGCCGGGCACATTGAGCAATTGTCCAATGGGGAGCAGCAGCGTGATGAGCACCCTTAAGCTTAATCCCCATTTCAAGATTCTCAATTATGCAACGACTTCACCGACGGAGCGTTCCTTTGGGAAAGCAAGTAGAGAGAGGAGGCGGGAGGGGAGGGGGGATGACGGAGCTGGTTTGTCTCTTCATCGGGGAAGAGCAGGTGTTATTGGGATTGAAGTTGTTGCGTCCTTCTGCTTTGTGTGTTTGCGTGTAAGTTTGGCCGGAAAACACTTCCTCAGATTACCGTCGAGGAAAGAAATGGGATCGAATTTACCTCACCTCAACATCAGACGACTGGAAAAAAAGTGAAATACGGGACGATGTCACCCTCGAACCCATGGGGCCATCTATATAGTCTTACACCCCCATCTGGGCCAATATTATGGCCACCGGTCAGCATTTAGATCAGGGCCAAGAAGTGTCTGTCTTCTTCGCTCTTTCAGTATGCGAGGAGCCCAGGATCGCGCCAATCGGCTTCCGCACTGATGCTTAATTGACGCAGAGCCCGTCGTCCTTTGCTGTATTTGGGTGATTCGTACCGACGTTTTCGCTCGTCGATGGCACGCTCCCTTGGCCCTGCATCCTTTCAACTAGCTGCCTAGAGGGAGGGGTGGGGGCCACTTTATATCGATATTGTTCCCGCTTCGTACTGGGATTCACACCCCCGGATCCTGATATAAGTCAGATTTGAAATGTATATAACAACCTCTGCGCTTCTTTCCTTTGGAAGATAGAGAGAGTGTCTGCTACCCGTAGGAACGCGTCAAATCAAGAACTCCAAGTCCGACCCTCGAGTTCCTCCCATCGGGCAACACAAAGATGGTCTCGTCACGACAACTCGCACTCCTTGCCGGAGCCCCGGCCGGCATCCTCGCCCTCGCCGCGCCGCTGCTTCCCCGCGCCGTGGACTACAGCAAGTGGAAGCCCGGCGTCAGCTTCCAGATCGTCCTCCACCACCCCATCTTGGCTGGCAGCACGGCAGACATCGTCCCCGCCAACGCCGACGTCTGGGACATTGACCTGCAGCACGCCGTCGACTACCCCAACATCATTCCCACTCTCAAGGTGAGACGACGTGCCTACCTACCTACCTTAGGCTCAGTACGAGTCACCACGCAGACATGCTAACCAACACACACCACAAAAAGTCGGCGGGAAAAATTGTCATGTGCTACTTCAACGGCGGCGCCCTCCAAGACTGGGACGAAGACCTCGACGCCTTCCCATCCGCAGTCATCGGCTCGCCCCTGAACCCGCCCTACACGGACGAGCGCTACCTCAACATCAAAGACGCCCGCGTCGTGGCCCTCATGAAGGCCCGCCTCGAACGCGCCGCCTCCATCGGCTGCGACGCCGTCGACCCGGACAACATCGACGCCTGGGCCGAAGACGGCGACGACCCGACGGGTTTCAACCTCCAACCGTCCGATTATGCGACGTACATCTCCGCGCTGGCCGCCCACGCGCACACGCTCGACACCACGGCCGGCTCCGGAAGGAAGCTGCTGCTGGGGCAGAAGAATGCGCCGACGATTGCGCCGCAGCTTGCGTCCGTGGCGGATTTCGCGGTGCTCGAGACGTGTCTAGGGACGAGGACGTCGGACGAGGTTGAGCCGTTTTGCGCGGATTTCCAGCCGTACATCGCGGCGGGTAAGCCCGTTTTCCAGATCGAGTACCCGACGAGCGTGCGGGACGACGACTCCATCAGCCAGGTTGATTACAACTACTTTTGCGTCAACAAGAATGGCAACGAGGGGTTCAGCGAGGTGCTGAAGCACGCGAGCGAGCAGGTTGATGGGTGGGGCCAGTTCTGCGGGCTGGGGCTTACGGGGGGTAGGTTTGAGACGCCTACTGTTGATGAGGGGGATGATGAGGAGTAAAAGAGGGAGGTTTCGTGTGAGAGATGTTCATCGAGGGACACACCGAATCGTGATGACTATGGACATGACTTCAATTCTTGTACTTATAGCTTATATCCAGTAGAACATGTACATGCGGGTAACGATATTTCATACAGATCAAAGGACGAAAAGATTCCGCAACTCCGTGCAGGCCATGACACAGAAGCAAACAACCAACGCGAGAATGCCATGTCAGAAAGCCAAAGTAAATTCCAGGGAAAGCCTCTCTCTCTCTCTCTCTCACAGCCCTTAGTTGTGGAGTTGAACAGAAGCCTCGGCCTCCTGCTCCAGCATCTTACGCTTCAACCCTCTCGCTTTCAGCGCCACGTATCCGACCAGCGCAATACCGACGGCGAGGCCGGCCGAGAGCAGAATGACGTTGACGGGAACGGGATCACCGCCAAACGTCTGGTGGAACAGGACGTCCAGCCCGGACTGCAAAAAGTTGAAGAGGCCCGACAGGCAGATGATGGTGCCGTACACGGTGCCAAACGTCTCAAAGCCAAACACCTTCGCGCTGTAGTCGGACACGGCGGTGTAGTAAAAGGGGCGGTAGAGCACAAAGAGGCAGACCTGGATGTAGGCGGCGCCCATGTTGTCGAGGACGCCCAGCACGCCAATGGTGGTGGCGATGGTGACGAGCGCGGTCAGGACGGTGACGGTGCTGGTGTGGTCAAGGAGGACGCCAATAAAGGGAATGGAGAGGATGCCGCCCACGGGCAGGGCGACGTCGAAGAAGTTGTTGATCTCGATGGCCTTGCCCACATCACCAAAGATGACTTCATACTGCGCCCGGATGGTGGCGACAAAGTAGTTGATGCGGAGCATCTGGATGACGGTGAAGAGGCAGATGAGGATGAACCACGGCGAAGCGATCTGACGCAGGGCCGAGCGGTTATGCATCACGCCCCAGACGCCCGAAATCTCGTTCTTGTTCTCCTGGCGAATCTGCTTGTCTACCTTCTGAGTACCCAGCAACTGCTCCACATCGGCCACGACAGACTCGCGGTGTCGGCGCTCCTCGCGCAGAAGAGCCGTGTTCTCGTCAATCTGGTCGTCGTACGGGTCCGGGTCGGATTCGTTCGCGGCCGCGGTCTCCTCTTGCAACTCGACCAGTTCTCCCACTGTCTTGTATGACTGCTTAGGCATCAACGCGAATTGAACGACAATAATGAAGACCGGAACGATCAAGTACACCTTGAAAAACTTCTCATGACCAAAGGTACCCTCGGATGCTTGGAAGATTAGGCGGTAGACCAGGAACAAGGCGCTAGAGGCGTCAAAAGCACCAGTCATGAGTGCGAGAATGAAGCCCGAGTGCTTTGGGAACGCATTGGACAGTTGGAAGGACGAGATGTAAGTGAATGGACCACCCAAAGCAAGGCAGAGGTATCCAATCAGAAAACCGTCAAAGGGAAGTGTCTTGGCATAAGCCATCAGAATTGAACCAATGATCAAGAACACACTTCCGACGAGTCCACAGACGCGCGGACCGGCGTGGTCAAGTAGGGCGCCAACAGGCAAAGCCGCGATATTGGTACCGACCGCTGCCACGGTAAACATGAGATTGAGATGAATCTCAACACACGTATCGTCGGGAGTTGAGTTGGTCTCGTCGGTGGAACAGACGTCGCTGTAAGCACCCTCTCGTTTGAGCACCGGCTTCAATGCCGCAAAACCAAAGGCGATACCCGCTGCAAAGAGGCAGTAGATTACGGCGATGGTGACTTGAACTACGGCAAATGGTCAGTACATGTTTCCGTGTGACAGTACATGGTATCACGGCGCCGGGTACTTATTTGACGGCAGGTGACGGGCCTATTGGTAAGACGAGCGACGTACGAATTCTTTTCCATTGCGGAACTTCAAAAGCGCCAACGGCCAGCACGGTATCAGGCTTGCTCGCTGCAGGGTCCCATTCGTCGGGAAGAGGGTTGAACGTGAGACGTCCCGCCCTTATACTTGAAGCATCGCTGCCGCGTCTCGATCCCTGGGCTTGGGGCAGGAATTGGAACGTTTCCACCGAGGCCACACGGCTCAAAGACATGGTGGCTGATCAGTTGGTCGATGTTTCTTCTTGAGTGAGTTGCCAGCGAGTAAATTGAGAACGAGAGCCAGTGGCCAATAAAATATTCAACAAGCAACTGTTAAAGAAAACAGCCACCGAGAAATAGGTTCGAGGAGGAAGTCGAGCTGAGGTTAAGAGGTGGAGCCGAGCTTGAGATAGCTAGCCCAGCGAGCTCTGGTTCGCCAATGACAATCCGTCGATAGGCAGAGAGGTTGGCGAGACTCGATCGAATGGGGTAAGGCAAGGTAGGATAGAACAAGATACCACTGCAGAGCGGAATTTTTCAGATTTTTCAGTCGAGATAAGGCTCTTTATCTGTCGGATCGAGAACCAAGGCTTTGCTGCATGCCCTGCAGAAATTTTCTGACGTAGTGTAGTGTAGGTAGTCAGTCTTTGGTGTTTCCCCCCCATTCAACCGGAATCGCGGGGCACACCATACAATGATGGATTGACGACAACCCCAGAGCTATGGAAGGGACGGCAGCACTCCCGCAGTCGTTCGCCGTAGATTGGAACTAGGACAGTATAGGAGAATATTGTAAAGACGAGACAATGAGTAAGAGAAATCGACAAGGTAAGGATATTTGGAAATTCAAATTATGCTCGAAGGAATTGTAGGAAGGGTGTCGAGGTTAATGTAGAGAAAATCTCCAACAGACAAGTGATCAGGTGGCGATGCGGGGAAGCGCCGATTGGGCGGTAGGAGGGGTTCGAGGTTGCCAATGGAAGAACACGGGCAGAGAACACGCGGATGAATGGGATGCAGTTGGGCTTGGTTCACAGGGAAAGAGCCAGTGTTTTTTGGAGCAAGGCATCATGGGCAAGCACGGCAAGGTAGGGGAGGCGGGGGCAGAGTGGACAATATGTAAAAGAATAACGTAGAAAAGGCCCTTTGCCTCCTCCTACCTGCCTCGGTCTGCAAGTCTTGCCCAGCCGTTGTTACGCTGTTTCCACCAAAGACGACCGCATGCATGGAGATGGAGGAGAGAATGGAAATCGGATGAAGGAATTGAACCGTCATGTGGCCCTCCTTCTCCGGTGGGCACCACATACCGTCCCCGATCTGCCGCCGTGAGCCGAACGGTATGGGCCCGGCCGCTCGGGGAATGGGAGCGACGGAATAGGGTCAATGATTTAAGAAGCCACCCCACACGATGGATCATGTCAGATTTGATGGGCAATTTTGTATGCGAGCTGTCACCTGAAGCTTAAGCTGATTGCAACTGGTGTTTATGAGACCCGTTGAGAAACAATTTCGGCCAACGCATGCCGTTGCAAGAGAGGACAGAAAACGTTCACAAAATGGCGTAGATGGAAACGGAAGGAAATCCTCCTGGTCCTTGATGCATTATTCTGTGATTCTTGTTACTGACCTAGGTAGTAGTTGGAGATGACATTCGCCGAAACCCCCAGATCAGCGCCAATTTACATAATAAAACGACTTAGCCACCTCTGTCGACACCATCTCCGCATCACCCTCTAACCCAATCGAAGCCAGTCAGCAACGGTGCCAGAGTCAGCGGTAAGACCGGCTACAACATTAAATTAGAAATTATCGCCTTGCAGCATTGTGCATCAATCGTACAGATATAAATCAATTGTTCTGCGATACCATCGTCGATGTGCTTCAAGTCAGGACCATAGTACACAACGTGGGCTTGATCAAGACTTTAAAACCCCCGTCTGATTGTCTGCTTCAACCACTGTGACGGCCCGGAGACGATATGCCCACGCCTGCTATCCCACCGCATGCGGTCAGGGCACCCCCGATCTGACGGCCTCCGGCCCGAGCGGCAGGGAAGAGGGCGGCGGCGGATGTGAGGCTGCACGTCTGCCGACGTCTGCCCCTGGACCCCCGAGGCCCAACTTCGCCGTGATCTATCCCGATGACTTTGTCTTTTACGGATGCTGGACCAACCTTGGTTGGCGAGCGCAAGGTAGAGTAGTCGTGAGCAGTAAAATTAAAAACTAACGTTGCGTCGGCAATACACGAAGCGGCTATAAGGGTACCCCCAACGCCCGCGGGCTACGCTCGTCATGAGACCACCCGCGAAAACAATACAGGCACGGTAGCAAGGCAAACAGCGATAGACAAAGAAAACGATGCGTCATGGTGACAATGTGCCGGCGAGGGCTGCCGTTCAAACTCTGCCCTTCTCCAAATCTTCCCGTCCATTCTTATGCAAACTACCCGAGTCGAGTATCCACCATCTCTAACCCCCTACTAACTGTTTCCTGTTGTAGTCTGTTTTGCGGCAAAACGTCGGCACCCAACCGCGAAAGAAAACACCTCATAAAGGTAATCGTAAGGCATCGTCGCAGATCGTGGCTCGAGTTGACATGGGCCGAATTCGCCGATAGAAAGGAGATGTCTGTCTCGGCTTGTCGTGATTCCTGGGTAGTTCCAGTTGCGCCCTCAGGCTGTTGAACTCGTCCTCTATCCATCGCTCCAACTTTTCCTCTCCAAACGTCTCCACAGCATGAAAATTATGCACACAAATTAGAAAAAGGCCATCAAAGATCGTAAGCGGACGTGTCGTGCCGATCCGTCGATACTCTAGAGGTATTCACGAGAAACAAAAGCAAAAACATCCACGCCAGGTAACTGCTGGTCATGGGCTCTTCACTTGTAGAATCTGATGATGGCCTTTGCGCTGCCGGAAATGGCCGTCTGGGAATTGCGTGTCAGTCAAGGGACGATGTCCATGCGCCAAAGTAGGTAAACTTACAGTACAGCCAGTGCCACCTCCGGTGTAGGAGCCGCCAACAAGCGCACACTTGCTGTTAGCACCCGTGATTTCAATGTTGAAATCAAGCTGGGCAGTCGATGTTGGTGCGTTGTTGAAGATGGAGATGTAGGTGTTGCCATCGGTGCTCTTGCCAACACCAATGTTAACGGGAGCCCAGTTACCAGCTCCAAGAGGGTCCTTGGAGCTCTTCCAGACGCAGGCATCCTCGACACCGTAGCCGAGCTTGTTGACGTAGTACTGGGCGGTGGTAGGGCTGTCGTTCCAGACGTAGTAGTCGGCGGAGGCGGGGTTGGTGAGAGCCAATTGCTGGCCAGGCTGGGGAACAGTGGCGATGACCATGGACTCGGTACCGGGGTAGTCGGTACGGCAGACGCAGGAGATGTCGTCGAGGTCGTTCTGAATGAAAACGCCGCCGGCTCCCTGTTCGCAGAGGGTCTTCTTGGTAGGGCGGGAGAGCTCGAGGTAGCCATCGGCGTTGCAGTAAAGTCCACCAATAGACTGCTTGGTCGAGCCCTGGGCGGTGGGCCATTGGGTCTTCTGGTAGCCAACGGGGCAAGAGTAGGAACAGAAGGAGTTCTTGGAGCAGCCGCCGTCAGAGGCAACGGCAGTCTCGATGAATGAGATAGCGGCGTCACCGACGCTGTAGTTGGGGGTTCTCTGGATGCCAGTCCAGCCGTTGGTGCCGAGATAGCCGACGGCAACGGCGCCGTAGTCGGAGGGGAACTGGGAGCAAGGAATGGTGCCGCTGGGAAACTCGGCGGTCAGGCCCTTGCCTCCGGAGCTGCTGGAGCCTCCGCTCGAGGCCTTGGTGGAAGCGGGCGCCTGAGTAGAGGTGGAGGAAGGCGTCGGGGTCGGGGTGGGGGTAGGAGTCGGCGTCGGGGTAGGCGTCGGGGTGGACGAGGTGGAAGACTTCGCAACCTTGGCCTCGAAGAACTGGGCGTCCTTAGAAGTGGAAGCCACGGGGGCCTTGGAGGTCGAGGCCGACGGCAGAGGGGTCGAGGAGGGGGTGGTCTCGCCGACGACAACGAACAGGCCATCGGCGATGCCCTTCTTGGCCTCCTCTTCACTAATAGGCTTTCCTCCCAATTCGTAGGCGACCACAGTCGGGCCGGACTCGTACACGACGACAACGTCGCGCTGGTCGAGAGCGGTGTCCCTCTTGACGTGGCGGTGACGGTGGTTGTGGGGTTGAGCAACAACACCGGCGGCGAGGGATGCCGCAATGGCGAGGTTAATGATGGACCTCATATTGTCGATTGATGTTGATATTCTAGAGTACGTGTTAGCGCAACTTGAACCTCAATTGCGTTGGAGGGTACACAAAAGGCGCTTCATAGGGGGGCGGTGAGACGCTGTATCAGCAGACAATGAATGAGCTTGAAAATGGCAAAAACAACAACTACAACATCAACGATGCAGTTGCTGCTTTGTTCATCGCTTTCAATGCCGCGCGCAAGGTGGTGGTGTTTCCTCTTGCGATACTGTGTTGCGCGTTTTGCCCCGAATCGCTTTCGTGTAGACCCCTAATTGGGAGGCGTTTTCCCCCGTCACAACCACTCACTCACCCTTTTCTCGCGAGCAGTGCAGTCAGAATCGAGAATCGTTTCGATGTATGGCGTGCCTTGTCGGTGTTGATGATGATCGCAACGGAGAAAATCGTACTAGGTGATTACAGGATAACGAGTGTTGGCTGATTCGGATTCAAAAGAGTGTAAGTGAGAGCGAACTCTCTAGTTGGGAATCAACGCGGTGAACGAGAATGAAGAGCTCGATGACCAGGAGAAACTGAGAAGAGGGAGAAGGAGAGGGTGAAGTGGAGGAAAACAGGGTAAAGAGGCCATGTCGTGGATCCCTTGGGAAATTAGGAAGACCAGGCGCGGCAGGTACGCCAGGTACAAAGCCGTACAAGCCACCCGGGCCTCCAAGACCATACCCAGGGCCCCCCCAAGCCTATCCAAGACCACCCCCCAGGCACTATTATCAGAAACAAGACCAGACGATCCCGCCCGCGGGCTGCAGGTACAGACACACGCTTACGAGGGCACCCGCCGTACCTCGCAGCAAAGCGGTGCATCTGCCCCAGAAGGGGAAGGAAAGGGGGTTATCTGCCTGGATTGGACTAGCGGCAAATTAGAATTAGTGGCTCGTTGGATCCATTTATTTTTACGTTGACATTCACAAGCACCCAGACCGGGCCCTGACCTGTACCTGTACCTGGACCTGGACCTGGACCTGGACCTGGGCCTGGACCTGGGCCTTGACCTGCGCTCTCGCTTCGCGTTCAATTGCTGTTATTACTCCGTACACAGAAAGGCCAGGTACGGATACCGTACTTCCATTGGGTGCTTGGCTGATTGCTCCTTCCATCTTGAACTCGCTGCTTCTCACCTGCCCGCGGGATCCCATAGTTCCTTCCCAAGGATCCCAGCCACGAGCCCACGACCGACTTGAGTGGACTCTGGAGGAACACAGAGAGGGAGGACCACAAGGTGCTGCATGCGAAGCCTGGGGACACATGCACATGCGCATAGCGGACCCAGAAGGCGCAAATCCCCCTCTTTTTGGCATGTCTGCATTGTGTCGTACGAGGAAAGTGGAAGGCGCCTGCAGCCAACAGGCGTGGCCCCCTTCCTCCTTCTTGGGTTCCTTCCTGGCCAAAAGACCCAGAAAGCAGCTGGTAATGGTCGGAAATCCGGGTCCAAGGCATGGGAAGCATATTGCCTTCATTTGCCATTTTCATCATCCATGGGCCAACTTGTCCAAGAAGAACGGCACATCTTCATGGATGCACTTGTACTTTGTGCCTTCATCCTGGCGCAGCGCCCAAAAACACACACAAAAAATCAACCCAGCTGTGGCACTCTCCCACGAGGCACTTTCAGGGACGTCCCGGTCACACTGCTTGACGCTCCCGCCGCGGCATCGACTTTCGTCGTCCACACAGCTGTCGTCCCATCATTTCTTTATCTGTATCATTCTTTTTCTGCTCGCCTCAGGCAAAACCAGTTCGTCCCATCGGGCGTCCATCCTATGCTTCTGGGCAGAAAATAAAAAGCAACGTCAGAAACCAAATTGACGACGGTACCTGTAGGAAACAACCGCAGCGCACATATACGACCCGACGGGATCTAATGCGAGACAAACCAACTGGCGAAACAAGCCATCACCGCCAACCATAGCCGTTGCGTGTCAAGCCACCGCCTTGTCCGCATTTTCCTCTCCCCCCCTTTTTCTTCCAGAGTCCGCCTCTGTATCCGTATTCTCGCTGCACAATTGGACGAATGGATCATATCATCCCCGGACAAAGATGTTGTAGCGCTGCGGAAATATTCGTCGTCACCCCAGCTCCAACTCGACAAGCCCGGTCAGCCGAATGACGATCACCGCTGCCATTGCATGCGACAGTTGAACGGATTATTCCTACAAAGACACTACGCATACAATCCCAGTCAGAACCCTGTCCCCTGACACAACACAGCCAGCCTGTCGCCGTGTCAATTGACGGCTCGATTTTCCCTCTTGGTCTTTGTCGACGACTCTGGCCCTCACACAGTCGAATCAGATTGCCTTGGCACAATTAAAGAACCATGCATAGGTAAACCAATCCCTGCTCCCACTAACCATGGGCTGGCTTTTGGCAGCTTTGCTCAATTTCGACACTGCGAGGCAATTAACCGTCTGTCAAGCGCCTTTCCCGAAAGTGTCGACGACGTTATTTCCACTCGCCAGCCTGGTCAATTGGTCTCATTTGTTTTTATCGATTCGTCGCTATCGTTGTCGTCGCCCTTGGCTGTCGTCGTCGTCACCTCACATCTCAATTCGCTAAAGTGGGAATGGGATAACATCTGGCACCAGTAACTAGCCTTTTCCCATTGAACCATGGTCCTCCCCCCTATTGTTTGGGTCTTCTCCAGACTCCAAAAGCCAGTCTCCAACCATTCATTGTTGATTTCGGCTGTCCTTGGCACCGTGCTGCAGCCACCGTGCGCTACTACGATTGACATCAAGCGCTCATACGAGATTCGGTTGTAAGCGACGTTACACGGTTACCATTGACAATCGCCGTAGAGATGGATCACGGGTGGCGGGTGACGGAGGTTATTGCAACCCCAGTTACCCCTATTGTCTATTGGAATTCCGGTACAGATACGCACTCAAGGAGTAGGAAGAGCTTTGAAGTCTGGAGTCCAGCAAGCGCCACTGGCCAAGGGTCGAGAACAGATTCGCGACGAACCCTTCTTGCGCACGTACGGAGTACATGTCCATGTCATCTGAAATCTGGAGAATCCTTGACCGGCTGATGCATAGCTATCCTGAGCGGGAAAAGCCGACCTTCAGTTCAAGATGGCTCATGAGGAATATATCATCGGCCTCCCAAAGGCTAATGTATACGAAGCTTCGCTACAGAATTCCGCCTGAAATGCGCGATGCAGTAGCTCAGTCAGCCCCCGCCACCAGTCCTACGTGGGGGGGCTTCTTTGTGAGGATTTGGCAAATCTCTCTAGCAACCAAATCTTATTTACAACCACGACGGCCAAAGTGCCAGATGCCATTTATCTTACAGGCTTCCGCTAGAACAAATGAATGGGGAATCGAGAAATTTCGGCTTCTCGTCGGGCTGTGGCTCATCTCCTCCCCAGGTATCCAAGAAGACCGTACCTAACTACTTTCTCAACAACAAAGCTATGGGCCGAAAGATCAACGACAAAGAGCTAACTGGTCGCGATCCACGCCAATGGCTTCAATAGCGTTGCACATCGTCCATTATCCACCGGTCGCTAATTAGTAACGACGAACGCTCGTACTTGGCCCGACACTACCTCCAAATATCCGTCACCTGCAACTACTGCGGTTGCCAAGACGAAGGGACAACAAAAACATGGAGATCCAACCAAGCTTCGATCGTACCTACCTACCTAGGTACGGATACAGCGCGTGCTCGCTCAATCACGACCCTTCAAAGGCGTCATGCCTCTGGCCACTCACACCACCTACGAGGTATTCGTACTACGTACTCCGTACAGATATTCCTACAGGCCATGAACATTTACCTGCTGGGCCGTGCCATTTGCTTCGTCTCATTTCGGCCATGACGTCCACAAATCCACACCACAATTTCGGAAGTTACGATCGATCTGCGCTAGAGCGAAAAGCAATGGCTGCGCAGCCACCATCTTCCCACCTGAAACGTTGAAACATCGACAGCCTTCTGGGTCCAGGCCTGTACGATTTATCGGTCTTCACGAGAGGTGCAGGGAGAGGCCCTTCTCTCAAGGACCCAAACCCAAAGGCCTTTTACGAGGAGAGTCATGTCACGAGCCCTGCTGGCTGCTGCACGAAAGACCCTCCCCCTCATCGGCTCGAGAGTGCCGTGGGTTATACTTATTCGTACCTTACCTGGGGCTTGCGTAAGTGGTCGGCATCGACGATAATCTTGTTCGATTAATAGTCCCCCACTTCACGCCGGAATAGTACGATATACTCAAGTGAAAGTCACCCAATTGGTGGTCGAACTCGCGTCACTGGAAAATTACACCCACCAAACCTCGTACTTTGGAATTCGTGATTTTGAACATCACCGAGGCCCTCGTCCGCAACATCAAAGAAATCTGTCATGGCGCCTGCTTCCAGAACGAGAGATTCCTGGCGGGCGTCCGTTCCATGCCAGCAGAACGACGCGACTTTGATCAAAACAACGCCAACTCACCCACGAGACTCATACGCCTGATTTGCACATGTGTTACAAAAACACGCTATCTGACGATGCATTCCAGACTTGACGTTGGTTTGGTTATCGATCCCACGTTCAAGTGCTGCTCTTAGCTCTGGGCCACGCCCTCACGGCTTCTAGAGCCTCACGGGACGGGACCGCCGTTGTTTTGACCAGAGACATTGGTCAGAAACAGGGGGGACGATTGATTGTCAGGCACAGGAATGGCTAATGGCGGCACTTGGATTAATCAACTTATCTTTTCGTTGAAGTTATACCTCTTGATTGACGGGAGCTGTCGAGGCACGGCACCATCAATCGCATATCGCTGTCGTCTCGTTTCTTCCTGATGCAAGCTTTTGCGCCCTTTCCGTCTGGCAAGCTCGAGGCGCAACACGACTCGTGTTGCATAGCAAACACGACGTGGGCATAGCGTAGATGGTCGGTCGGTCACCAAAGCGTCCCGAACAGGCTACTTTTCTTGTCTCACTATTTGACCACCAGCTGGGCCATTGTTGACAAATTTTGTTATGGAGGG